ATAACATTAGCATATGGCTTCGTCACCTCTTTTAAAGAAAATAGAAATATGAATTTCCTTGAGTCTTTGCTCCTCAGCTACCTGTCACACTGTGTTCTTGTCCTCCAGAGCCTTCATTTCCTTCCTACTGGACTTTGGCCACTCCAGTGACATGTGTTCAGCAAAAATTATCTTTCTTGTTGAATGGTGTGTATGTCTACTTTTTGTGCTTTGGGATAGTTTTCTTTCCATTCCTCATAGGGTTTGAGAGTCTTCATAAATACTTTGTCTGTGGGGTCAAAGAGTTAACTTCCTGACCTCCAGGCTCAAGTAGGAGGCACCAATTCCTTTGTAAGGCCAACTCCTCTCTCCTTTTGTTCCCCTCCATTTATCCCCTACCCCATTCCAGAAGTTACCATCTCCCTGTCTTATATCATCAATCTCTTCTAGTCCTATTTTTTTTAAATATGTTTTTATTTCTGAGAGAGAAAGAGAGAGACACAGCTTGAGCAGGGGAGGGTCAGAGAGAGGAGACACAGAATTGGAAGCAGACTCCAGGCTCTGAGCTAGCTGTCTGCACAGAGCCTGACACGGGGCTCAAACCCACGAACTGTGAGATCATGACCTGAGCTGAAGTCAGACGCTTAACCAATTGAGCCACCCAGGTGCCTCTTCTAGTCCTAATTCTATACTGTGACCCAGTGAGTACACTCAAATCTTTTAACATCCCTAAAATGTTTTCAAATGTGAATCCCTTCTGTTGTCACATCTTTTTAAAGTTTTTTTTGCTTCACAGAATGATTGCCTTTAATTTCTCAGTTTCCATTCATTCCCCAATCTATTTATGTTTGATTTATGATCTGACTCCCCTCTTAACTGTATTACTTTTGTAAAAATATGGGCCAACTTCCTGCTGCTAAATTCAGTGGCTTTTCAGTTCTCATATAGCCTGACTATTGATGACACCTCTGAAATGTACTTCTCCTTTGGCTTCTGTGATGTACTGGTTCTTGAGATTTCTGGGTTCTTGGGTTCCTCTACCCTATTCTTTTTTTTTTTTTCTTCTTTATACACCTGTCATTCTTTTTTTCTTTAATATTTATTTATTTTGAGAGAGTGAGAGTGAGAGTGTGCACTAACAGGTATAGGGCAGAGAGAGGTACAGAATCCCAAGCAGGCTCTGCACTGCCAGCACAGTGCCTGACGTGGGGCTTGAAAACCCACCAACCGTGCGATCATGGCCTGAATTGAAATCAGGAGTCAAACACTTAAGTGACTGAGCCACCTAGGGTCCCCCCCACCCCTATTTTTCTCTTAATCTCTTTGGCTGGTTTTTCTCCTGTCCCCTGCTGCTGAAGTTTAGGGGTATTCACGTCTCTCCTAGGTCACCATGCCCCTCTGTTTCCCTCCACAGTTGTTGCTTTACATAAGACCGGCAAGTCCATACTGTTTCTGCTTTTCATCTATACTTCCTCCCTGAGGTTTCATCCATTTCCATACCTGTAGAGACTAATGACTTCCCCCAACTCTCTCCTGCGCTTGGAGCTTTTTTTTAAAGTTTGTATATATAGAGAGAGAATGCGCACAAGTGATCAGGTAGTAGAAGAGAGGAGAGAGAATCCCAAGCAGGCTCTGCACTGTCAGTGCAGACCCTGATGCGGGGCTCGAACTCTTGAACCTGAGCCGAAATCAGGAATTGGACACTCAACTGACTAAGCCACCGAGACGCCCTTGAGCTTGGAATTCTTAACTAGCCTGGGACTTTGCTGCCTGGTTGCAGGTACCTCACATTGACCTATCTTTCTTCCAGCTTGCCTGCCTTCTTGTGTTCCCTGCTCTCTTAGTGCCATTACCATCTTCCCAGTCCTTTAGCTAGAAACCTCCAGAATCATCCTTGACTCCTTCCTGACCATCCACATGGAATTTGACACAAAGCCCAGTCAGTTCTGCTTCTGAAATACCTTTCTTACACATCTCCTATTTTTCATCACCACTCAATCAGGTTTCTCCAAAGTGAAACATAATCTAATGTGTCACTTCCTCAGCCTTAACAATTTTTATGACTTTTTAAAGTACTTTTTAAAGTCTGTTTATTTTTGAGAAAGAGGGAAAGACAGAGAGCATGAGCTGGGGAAGGGCAGAGAGAGAGAGGGAGACACAGAATCCAAAGCAGTCTCCATGCTCGGAGCTGTCAGCACAGAGCCCAACACGGGGCTCAAACTTCCAAACTGTGAGATCATGACCAGAGCCAAAGTTGGACACACAACTGACAGAGTCACCCAGGCACTCCAACAGTTTTTATGACTTTTTATTGCCTACAGGACAAAGTCTAAAGTTCTTGGGCATGGCAAATGAGGTTCTTTACAACCTGTTCCTAACCTTTTCCTGCCACCAGCCCTGACAGACTATCCCCAGCCAGCTCAGCCGTACTCTCTGGTTGTCTGTGTAGGCCTTGCTCTTCAGTCTCACACCTCTGTGCCAGTCATGTCTGCTTAAAGCCCATTCACCTGCCACTCACTCTTCTGCTCAGGAGTCGTATCTTTACCTTGCCTTTCTTGACCACACAAAATGATCAGCCCTGCAGCACTTTATTCATGTGTGTTGTAGCGGTTATCCTGTATTAAAGCTAACTCTATGACCTTTTTAAGGACAGCATCTAGATCTTTTTCATTTCAGTGTTGCCACAGCACAGTACCTGGAATATAGAATTTTGATAATTACTAATGGGATGAAGATATCCAAATGAAGTAAAAGAGAACTCAGCCCACACTAAGTCTGCAGAGCTCCCATGTTGTCTTATGAACAGCACATTGAGAGGTGGTTAAGAGCTTGGTTTCTGGGGCAGGGGGCCCTAGGTGCCTCGGTTGGGCGTCTGATTTCGGCTCAGGTCATCATCTCACAGCTAATGAGTTCAGGCCCCATGTTGGGCTCTGTGCTGATGGCTCAAAGCCTAGAGCCTGCTTCAGATTCTGTGTCTCTGTCCCTCTGCACCTCCCCACTCGTGCTTTCTCTCTCTCTCTCTCTGAAAGATGAAAAAAAAAATTAAAAAAAATTAAATTGATTTCTGTAGGTGGGCATACCTGGGTTCAAACCCTGTCTATAATGCTTCCTAACTATGGCCATTTCCCTATCTATAAAGTGGTGATGACAAGTGGCTGTGAGAATTTAACATAAAGCACTTATAACAATCTCCAGTACATTGTAATCATGTTAAGCTATTGTTAAGACTGTAATGTAATATATTAATGAATAACAGTATTAACAGTATTACTTAGTGTATTCTCACATGATCTTCCTAAGAGAAACTGTCCTTTTGTTTGTTTATTTTGAGAGAGAGAGAATGTGTGTGTATGTGTGCAACCAGTGAAAGGGCAGAGAAAGGGGGAGAGGGAGAATCTTAAGCAGCCTTCACACATGGGGCTCAATCCCACAACCGTGAGCTCAATCCCATGACTGTAAGATCATGAGCTGTGCCAAAATCAAGAGTTAGTCGCTCAACAGACTGAGCCACCCAGGGGCTTCTAAGAGAACCTGCTCTTCCTTTTAAGTTTATTTATTTATTTTGAGAGAGATACAGCATGAGTGGGGGAAGGGTAGAGCGAGAAAGAGAAGGAGAGAGAGAGAGAGAGAGAAAAAGAAAATCCCAAGCAGGTTCTAAACTACCAGCACAGAGCCTGATGTGGGGCTTGAACCCATGAGCCGTGAGGCCATGACCTGAGTACTTAAACTAAGCGGATTACATTTTTATCAGCAACAGTGACTATCAGTCTGCTTTCATCTCCTATTCTAGACTTATCTGGGAGGAGGAGTGCTGTTCTTTTTCTCCTGTATCTATTATTTTTATTATTGTTGTTAATACCCTTGGGATTCACTCTCCAAGAACTGAGTTTTAGATATGAACAGTGATAAGCAAAATAAGACAGAGAAGACAAATATGTGGAATTTAAGAAACAAAACAGATGAACATAGGGGAAGGGAAGTAAAAATAAAATACGTTAAAAACAGAGAGGGAGGCCAATCATATTAGACTCTTAAATACAGCACGGAATCCGATGCGGGGCTATAAGTCACAAACCGTGAGATCATGACCTGAGCCAAAGTCAGACACCAAGCTGACTGAGCCACCCAGGTGCCCCTAAGTAAATTTTTTGAGAGAACTGTAGATTTACATACAATTGTAAGAAATAATAGAGAGATCCTTTGAATATCACTATAAGAATTTTATTTCTTTTTTAACTTTTTTAAATATTTTATTTTTTGAGAGACAGAACATGAGCAGGGGAGGGGCAGAGAGAGAGGGAAACAAAATCCAAAGCAAGCTTCAGGCTCTGATATATCAGCACAGAGCCTGACACTGGGCTCGAACTCATAGACATGAGATCATGACTTGAGCCAAAGTAGGGTGCTCGACTGACTGAACCACCGAGGTACCCCCAGTACAAGGATTTTAAATCTTACTTATAATGAAGGAGAAGGGTGCCTGCCTGGCTCAGTCAGTGGACCATGTGACTCTCAATCTCAGAGTCATGAGTTTGAGCCCCATGTTGGGTGTGGAGCTTACTTAAAGAAAAATTCAGAAAGTGAGATAGTTCCTTGTATTACTGGTATGAAAGAAACCTCAGGTAGAAAGCACTTCATAATTTTGAGAAAGGTGAGATTACTATGCTTGTAGCAGTAGCAAATAAAGAAGGTTTCATGCAAATGTCTGCTTTTAAGCCAAACCTCAGAGGATGAGTACAATTTTTTTAGGTTGAGAATGGAAGGTGAGAATGAGGTAAACCAAGAGCCAGGTGAGAAGGAGGACCTGGGTTCCTTCACTGTTCAGTGGCAAATAAAATCTAGACTTTTAAACTGCACACCTCTTGTGAATTGACTCTTTCTTGCCTCAAGCTTTCAGACCTCAAGTAATGATGGGCCTCTTCTTAATCTCAGGTCTAATTGTTATGTTTTCTTTTTTTAGTATAGAATACTTGATTCTATGGAGTCTGACTTACTGAAAATAGTGTCTCTTGTGCTTTTAGAATGACAACAGAGATCGGCTTGAGCATGGCAGCGAAAGGAGGAGACGTGGCAACCCTGAGCCGTTATCTAATGGACGACCCCAGGGTTCACAGCAGGTGGTGGAACAAGATGAAGAAGAAGATGAGGAGCTGACATTGAAATATGGTGCCAAACACGTGATCATGCTCTTTGTCCCGGTGACTCTCTGTATGGTAGTAGTTGTGGCTACCATCAAATCAGTCAGCTTCTATACCCGGAAGGATGGACAGCTGTATGTATGAGTATTTTGTTTTATTTTTCTCAAGGCTACTATGGCTTTTCTTCATACTAGGTCATTATTAGTTTGGCAGCCTCTGCTCTGAAGGGACACAAAGGCTAGAGAGTTCATTCTGTCTGACAGCCAGAAGCAGTTGAGATAATGAGGGATGATTTAGTACTTGAGGCTTTAAGTAGAGAAAATGAGAGCTACAAAATTTTATTTTATGGATGGTATCACCGGATAGGGCTGAATTTATTTGGAATTGAGCAGGTAAAGAATTGAATATTGACCTTTTCTTACCTCAGGGCCATTGGTCCCATTGGTCTGCTGGAAGGTTCTTTCCTTTTCTTACTTTTTTAAAAAATGTTTGTTTATTTATTTGAGAGAGAGAGCACACACATATGTGTGCGTGAATGGGGGAGGGGCAGAGAGGGGGAGAGAGAATCCTAAGCAGGCTCTGTGCTCGACCCCATGAACTGCAAGATTATCATGACCTGAGCAGAAACCAAGAGTCAGATGCTCAACCAACAGAGCCACCCAGGTGCTCCTCCTTTTCTAACTTTGATGGATTAATTCCTGTCATCTTTCTCATCTTTGCTTAAATGTTTAAGTACTCAAATTGCCCTCATCCTCATAACAGAATTAGGTCCTTCCTGATGTTATTTCTCATAGCAACCTGTTCTTTTTCACCTGTCACAACATGCAAATCAATGATTTATTTACAGTTTTTAAAGCTTGGTTTCCTTCTATACTGTAAGGGTTATGAGGGCAACTAGTTCCAGGGCTATTATGTAATAAATGCTCAGCAAAAGAAGAATTAATGCAAGCTGGCATTCTCCAGACTCTTGAGGGACTGTTGTGTCGATTCTCTGGTGCTGTTGATATGAGCCCTTTGCCTTTAAGAAAAATGCTTTGATTCAGATTCACCTGGTTCTGTCTCAGAGACTCCCATTGGACTCAAACAAAGTTTTAACTTTATATTGGAATTTGAAATTAGCAAACTGTGGTACTCTGAAAGCCAAGCTTTGAATCTTTCGGAAGAAAGCCTAAGATAATGAGTAAAGGGCAGGGATTGGAGACAGTAGCTAAAAAAGACTGGATAATATTATGTGTATAAGTTAGAGTTAGTTTGGTCTCTGTGTTATAGAACAAGGGTTAGTAAGCCATAGTCCACAGTCCAGATCTGCCTGCCACCTGTTTTTGTAAACAAACTTTTACTGGAGCACAACCATGTTCATTTATATATTGTCTATGGCTGTCTTCATACTGACTTCATACTACAATGGCAGGGATCAGTGGTTAGAACAGAGACTATATGACAAAATTTAATATATGTACGTTCTAGGGGCACCTGGGTGGCTCAGTCAGTTGAGCATCCTGACTTTTGATATCGGCTCAGGTCATGATCCCAGGGTTGTGCGATCGAGGCCTGCATCAGGCTTTGCGCAGTGTGGAGCCTGCTTAAGATTCTCTCCCTCCCCTGCCCCTTCTCTCGCACTCATGCCTGCACTCACTCTGTCTCTAAAATAAATAATTAAAATAAAATTACTTTAAAAAATATGTACTCTCTAGTCCTTTACAGAAAGTTTCCTGACCCTGTTATAAGAAATGAAAAAAACTGGTTTAAATGGTATATATATTTTAGCTGTTTCCCAGAGAGTGGTATCAGGTGGTCCGTCCAGATTGGTATAGTGGCTGCACGTTTTTCAAAGACTCAGGCTTCTTTCCTTTTCCTTTAGCTTCTATCCTTTAGATTATTCACAGAGCCCTAGTATTTAAATCAGACAACAGGAAACAGGAAGGAATGGGGGAGAAGAGGACATAAGACATATCTCTCAGCAGAATTAATGCCTTTCTTAGAAGTTCGACCACATATCCGCTTAAAACTCTTTGGCCATGTTTAGCCTCGTGGCCACACCTGACTGTAAGGGAGTTAGAATTAACTTTCAGCTGGGAACCTAAGTACTTATGTGAATGAGAAACCATGGGGAAGATGGATGTATGATGTTATGTCAGAACAGTTCCAGTTGCAGTCACCCTATAGGTGAAAAAAAATAATTGTAAGCCACCTTCCTCTGACAACTATTTGTAACAGGTATATGGCAGAACCCAGTTCTTTAACAAATTGCTAACAAACTGGAGAAAGAACACTTGAGTTATTATTTCAAATATGAAGCATCCACTAGATGGAGCCAGTGTCTGGTTCACAAAAGTCCTCTCCATATTTTGGATATCTCTTTTATTTTGTTTTGTGTTTTATTATTTTCATTATTTACCAAAGTTATTTATTTTGAGAGAAAAACAGCAAGAGTCAAGGAGTGAGGGAGAAAGAGAGAGAGAGAGAGAGAGAGAGAGAGAGAATCCCAAGCAGGCTGCACACTGTCAGCACAGAGTCCAATGTAGGGCTTGATCTCATTAACCATGAGATCATGACCTGAGTTGAAACCAAGAGTCGGAAGCTTAACTGATTGAGCCACCCAGGTGCCCCTAAAGCACTTATTTTAAAGTATAGCTAATTTTCTTAGCTAAAATTCTTGGCTAAGTTGCTGAGATGGGAAAAAAAAATCATATAAAGATACCAGTTGAATCAAGGTAATAAGACGAGGAGAGGGTATGTGGTTTGACCTGGGGCTTTTGTGTTTTGTTTTATTACAGAATCTATACTCCATTCACAGAAGACACTGAGACCTTGGGGCAGAGAGCCCTGAATTCGATTCTGAATGCTGCTATCATGATCAGCGTCATTGTTGTCATGACTATTCTCCTGGTGGTTCTGTATAAATACAGGTGCTATAAGGTGAGCATGAGACATGGATCTTTGCTTTCTACGACATTCTTTTCGTGATTGAGTTTTCCTGTCCTATACCTTACTTGGTCTGGTAGAGAAAAGGGCCTTATATCGTACAACCGATTTGATTTTGAGCTTGGTTGGGTTTTTTTTGTTTGTTTTTAGTTTAGCTTTAAAAATTTAATTTTCAGGGGCGCCTGGGTGGCTTAGTCGGTTAAGCGTCCGACTTTCACTCAGGTCATGATCTCACGGTTCGTGGGTTCGAGCCCCGCGTCGGGCTCTGTGCTGACAGCCAGCTCAGAGCCTGGAGCCTGTTTCAGTCTGTGACTCCCTCTCTCTCTGACCCTCCCCTGCTCACGCTCTCTCTCTCTCTCTCTCCTAGAAATAAATTTTAAAAAAAAATTTAATTTTCAGTTTTCAGATTCTCTTGAGTACAGGCCAGTAGAGCCTTCTTCAGACACTGGTGTTAAACTCACTGGTGACTGGTGACTAGTTATATTCCCACTTCTGTATTGGGAGCCATCCATTCCCTTACTGTCTTTCCTGCAGGAGCATCAGTTCTCTCCTTGGGAAATAAGGGCAGGGGAGATTGTGCAGGAAAGACACCCTGTAGCTAAGGGATTCACTCTTGAATTTTAGCCATCTGGCACATATTTCAGATGCATGCCTCAGAAAAATCACAAATTATTACAAGTCATGAGCCTTTAGGGTCTTTCTCAAATAAAAGAAATGATATCTTTCTGAATACTGAAGTCTACTCTATTTATTTCTGTATATCCCTTAACTTGGTTAAAATAAAATACATAATCAGCATGTGTCCTTTCTTAACTTTCACTTTGGAATAAGCATTTTTCCATGTTATAAATTCTCACAAAACATGTCTAAAGGCTACATAACATTTGACTCAATAAGTGTATTGTAATTTACTTTCCCTATTCTCCCTGATGTTGGACATTTAAGTCATTTCCAGTTTTTTACTAAACAACAATGAATGTCTTTATGGAGCTTTTTCAGTTTTTCAAATTACTTCCTTAGGGTAAAATCCTAGACACAGAATTTCAGGGACAAATTACCTACATATTTTTAACTATTATGGTGTGCAAAATTTCTTTCTCAAATGATAGTATCAGTTTGTACTTAACGTTAGTAGAGAAAGAGAATGTCTTACCGTACCTACATTGACCAACACTGAATTTTTTAAATTCTGTACTGATTTTTATAGATGAAACAAAATGCCTTAGTTTGCATTTGGCTAATTTTTAGTAAGACCAAATACCTTTCCAGTGTTCATGAACTTTAAAATTATACAGAATTTAACCTTCCTTGATGAATGTTTGAGTGAGTGGAAGTGTTAACCAAAATGATGACCATCTGCACTCTGACGTTAGCAAGTGGAAAAGATTGAAGACAGAGGTGTGTATGATGATGGCAAGTGTCATCAATACTCAGAAAACCAAAGAGCAAATGATGTAAACCCATGCTGCAAAGCATTCTCCTCCCCATTTAAATATCCTCATGACAATGACTTTGTCTGCATATAAGTGTTTACGTGCTAGTTCCATGTTTCTGCTCTGCTGGGCTCACTTTGTACCCCTTATCTGGATTAAATGCTACTTGTGTTCTTCACGTTTTATGGGAATTTGTATCCTGTTTGGGGCCATAACCACACCTGTACACCTTGAGGATGGGCCAATCGGTTCATCACGGCTGTAAAAGTTTGCTTTCCTGAGCTGCTTCCTTTCTGTGATCTCCCTGGTACTTTTTGGTTCTTTTGGCCTCCCTGTTCTAGTCCTCCAGCCAGAAATGACTGTTTTACCAATGATGGGGCCAAGAAGTGGGAGGACCGACAGAGAAATGAAATAAGTGCCATGTGCCCAACTCTCTGGCAACTATAGCTCCAGTTACAGAGGAAGCTTCCCCTTACCCTGAAGTTTAGGCTCCTGCTGCCCCCACTGCCACCCCCACAGGGTTCTTTGAGAGCTGCATGTGAGAGAATGGTGAAAGGAAAACCCAGAAATTGAGATTGTTGCATTCTCTTTTTTGTTAGGAGACCTCTTTCCTGTTCCTTATCCAGAGCTGGGCTTCGAGAGCTCTCACTGTCTTGCTCCTCTCCACTCAGAGCTGCATTGAGTTCTAATGGAGAAGGGTGGTGCTAGAGGGGAAAAGTGATCAACTCACTTCTCATTCCCCAGCCCACCTGACTCTGTTCACTTCCAGAGTCCTCACCTAGCAGCTGCATGCATTCTCTCCAGGTTTTATGGCTGCATTTGGCAGGAGAGACAGGGTAGATGTGATTTTACTCCGTGGCACCTTGAACCTATCTTGATATATTTCTGGTCACTTTTGTACATCTTTTAGTTACATCTCATTTTAGACAGTATGCAGAGGTTTATTTTCAGCAACATTTCCACATTTATTTGTTCACGGGTGTTGTTTTGTTTTGCTTTTTTAACATTAAGTTCAAGTCTTAGCAGGCACAGCCTATTCTATAGGAACAAGTTGTTTACTTTGATTCCTAGTGTAAAATAAAAGGAGCTTTTCAGTCAGAAATTCAGAAACTTGCCAGGACCTGTTTGGAAGTAAACCCTGAGGATTTGTTATGTCAGTGGTTGGTTGTGCAATGTCTGTGAGAAACACAAGAAGCTAAAAGACCAAACAAACTTTTAAAAAAGGTAGAAACTGAAAAGGCAGTTAATTATTACATATCAGGTTATAGATGAAACTATATAACTTATTAAAATCATGTGATTTCTGGCCTGGCTAGTTCAGGGTTTAGAGGAGATGCCTGTAGTTCTATACTGAAGCATGGCTCTTTTCTTTCAGAGCCTTTGGCATGGAAAAGCTGAATAGGGATTTTTGCAAGATGAGAAAAAAGAGTGTTTTACCACCTCAATGTCTAGAAAAAGGGGAAGTGCTATTTAGTCACCATCAGAAGAGGCTTTGGATTCAGTTAATAATTCAGAAAATCATAACATTAGTGACCAAAAACCATTATTACAGAGAGAGGGCTAATATCTTTAGAATATGAAGAACACTTACAAATTATTAAGAAAATTCTTAACATCCTAGGGGCATATGGCTGGCATGGTTGGTAGAACATGTGGCCCTTGATTTCAGGCTTGTAAGTTTGAGCCCCACATTGGGTATAGAGTTTACTTTAAAAAAAAGAAATCTTAAAAAAAATTATGAACATCCTAATAAATTTTTAAAAACCTAAGCCAGAGGAATTACAAAGGAAATGTAGATGGCCTGGAGAGAAACAGAGAGATGTATATATATGTTTCCACAATAGTAAAAACAAGAAATATTAAAATAACAAATTGATATATTTCACCTATTGACTTGGTACAGTCTTTTTGTGTGTGTGAAGTCACTAAGCCAACATATATCAATAGTCAGTAATGAGAAAAAGTCTTATGCTTTGATTACATACTTTTGCTTTCACGATGTATCTGAGGATTATTTCTGAAGCCGAGTCTTGGGAGCATGATGGGCTGGGGAGCCCACAGGTAGCTTTCGTTTTGCATAATCTTTACTGGATTTTCTGCAGACCAACCAGAGGAAGGGCTCCCTTTAGAATATTTTGCTAAAGGTGAAGTATTTAGAGGTATAGGTATATGTATAGGTGTCTTCACTTTACTTTGATATGTATTAAAAATAAAAAGGACTAATAGATGGCAAGCTGGATAGAAATGCTGCAAAGCAAGTATAGCAAAATGTGAATGGTATTCACTGTGAAATTCTTTAAACTTTGCTGTATGTTTGAAGACTTTTATAATATATTATTAGGGGAAATTTTTGTGAAAGAACTGTAGAAATTAAGTTTGTTGTATTCAGATAATCAATTTAGAATATTCAGATGTCTAAGGAATACCAGCTTCCATGTAAAGCCATCCTTTTGACCTTTCCCCAAATTGTACCATTTTATAAAGTTGTTTTAAAGAAAAAGAGGCAGCAGAAAATTTTAAGAAATCTTTTCTTTCAAATGCATTGACAATCACAAATCACCTTGGGTGATCAAAACAGAATCACAAGAGAAAGATAATTAACATACATTTTAATCACAACTAGATTTTGATACCTTATAATCTGATTATTGGAACAACTGCATCTGGGAGGTGGGTGTGGGAGTTTTTGTTAATGAAGACAAAATAATACTCTGGGTAAGAGACTATGTTTGGAAAAGTTATTGGTTAAGTAACTTCTGTCATTAAACAGTAGAACTATATTGAAAGATTGAAGCATATAGTGGATACCCACCTCAAAATAATTTCAGTTTGGTTAGAAATTACTTGACAGTTGTTTGTGCCTCTCCATTCTGATATTAAAATCTCCAGGCTCCCTGGGTTGTATAGTATTTTCCCAAATACACCCATTACATGAAATTACCATTTAAAATGTTCATCTTGTGTAACAGATTACAAAAGTCAAATTCTGATTCTATCTCTCATATTCATAAGCTGTACATGAGTAATAATGACTAATATTTATATAGTGCTGTGTGAATTCTGCATAATGATGGACTCAGAAGTGTTCCAAAGAATTTGTAATGTTACTACTTATTAATGAACCGTGTAAAATAAGCAGTGTTGTAATGCTTGCTGAAACTCTAGATTCCAAATATATTGTCAAATGGTTATATAATTAAAAGGCCTATTTTTGTTAATACAGTTAATGTATGCATATATAAGGCACCTAATGGAATATCTGATTTTCAGTTTTATTGAATTTTATTTTACTCAGTTTATTTCTACTTATTTAGGAAATACCACAAAAAGATTCCATTGAAAGTGTTGCTTCTTTAAAGTTTAAATGTTGACCAAAAGGCAGGTGAATTGATAATTCATTTTAGACTGTATTATTTTTAAAATTTCACCTATTTCTGGGGCACCTGGGTGGTTCAGTTGGTTAAGTGTCTGACTTTGGCTCAGGTCATGATCTTGCACCTTGTGGGTTTGAGCCCCACGTTGGATTATGTGCTGACAGTTCAGAGTCTGGAGCCTCTTTCAAATTCTGTGTTTCCATCTCTCTCTGCCCCTCCCCCAGTTGCACTCTGCCTCTCTCAAAAATATTTAAAAAATTAAAAATTTTTCACATATTTCTAAAGGAGCAAGGTCTTGCTGAATTTTCTGTTCTGAAGTAGTTCAGCACCAGAGAGTTCTAATACAAATAGGCACTGATCCCAAAATCAGTTTGAGTTCTGCCATTTGAAAAGTATAACATATGTAGAAATAATACATTGTTCTTGAAGTAAGAAATGTGCTTTTTTGTAAGGTTATGGGATCTGTTAATTATATGGAAATTCTTTCTTTTCTAGGTCATCCATGCCTGGCTTATTATTTCATCTCTGTTGTTACTGTTCTTTTTCTCATTCATTTACTTGGGGTAAGTGGTGAAATATTTGGTCTGTTTTCAGAGATAACTCTGATCTATATAACTGTCACCTAAAGCCATGTACTTTGTTGATGAATTACTCTTAAATTATAATTGTTTTCACATATAATTTGTACATGGTATATATGAGTGGTTAGTATTGTAAATATTTATGTATGTATATTTTTAATGGCTACACTAAATTTCATTTTATAAAATCACATCACACGTCCTAGCTATAAAATTTGTTGTGCATGTTTAATTTTTTAATTAATTTATTTTAGTTAAATACTAAAGTTTATTTTTATTTATTTTGAGAGAGAGAGATCAAGGAGGGGAGGGGCAGAGAGAGAGGGAGAGAGAGAATCCCAAACAGGCTCCATGCCATCAGCGTGGAGCTGGACGCGGGGCTCAAACTCATGAACTGTGAGGTCATGACCTGAGCCGAAATCAAGGGTCAGGTGCTTAACCAACTGAGCCATGAGCCACCCAGGCACCCCTATTTTAGTTAAATTTTAAAGTAGTATCTCTTCTCATTGTGGCATTTTAAGTGGTATATGGCCTTTTAAAAAAGTTTTTGTACTTGTTTGTACAGCTACGACCTATGATACTGGCTTCCCATTTATATGAATGATACATAATATTCTTTTAAAATAATCTCAACTTGGGGCATCTGAGTGGCTCAGCTGGTTCAGTGTCTGACTCTTGATTTTGGCTCAAGTCATCATCTCACATTTGTGAGATCAAGACACTTGTCAGGGGCTCTGTGCTGAGTGTGGAGCCTGCTTAAGATTCTCTCCTTCTCCTTCCTTCTGCCTCTCCCCTGCTTGTGCTAACTCTCTTTCAAATAATTGTTCAAATTGTTCAGATAAACAAACAAATAAGTAAGCTCAACTGGAGGAGAAAAGTGAACTAATTTAAAGGAAACTGTTAATAGCACATTGATATATGGTGAAAATATGAAGGTGAGATATGAATATATAGTTTGGGGGAACCATAGTTCTAAACAGTGCTTTGCTCGGGCGCCTGGGTAGCTTAGTCGGTTAAGCATCCGACTTTCGCTTAGGTCATGATCTCACGGTTTGTGGGTTCGAGCCCCGCGTCGGGCTCTGTGCTGACAGCCAGCTCAGAGCCTGGAGCCTGTTTCAGTCTGTGTCTCCCTCTCTCTCTGACCCTCCCCTGCTCACGCTGTCTCTCTCTCTCTCTCCTAGAAATAAATAAAGATATTAAAATACCATTTAAAAAAAATAAAAAAAATAAACAGTGCTTTGATGAAAATTACTATGTATAAATCTTTTTAGATATCTGTTTAATTTTTTTCAGGGAAGTGTTTAAAACCTACAATGTTGCCATGGACTACATTACTGTTGCCCTCCTGATCTGGAATTTTGGTGTGGTGGGAATGATCGCCATCCACTGGAAAGGGCCACTGCGACTCCAGCAGGCATATCTCATTATGATCAGTGCCCTCATGGCCTTGGTATTTATCAAGTACCTCCCAGAATGGACAGCATGGCTCATCTTGGCTGTGATTTCAGTATATGGTAAAACTCAAGACTGACATTTTGTTCATCACAGAAGTATCTCACTGGTGTGTTTCCCTTCCTTTTCCAGTTATCTTGACTTAGGAAAGTGATAACTGTTACGTCCCGTAGCTCTTCAGTAAATAATTAATTGGCTATAATATCTTTTTCATATAAAGATCTCCATTTTTTTGAAGTTAACTTCTTTAAAAATGTTTTATGACTGACCCCCAGTTTAACCCAGTGATGGATTAGTGGAAAGATCCATAGACTTCTACTTAGAAGCCTGTGGGACTTAGATTTAAATCCCATCTCTGGCACTGACCATGTTTATAATGTTAGGAAAGTGCCTCAGACTCTTTGAGCTTCAGTTTCCCCATTTGGAAAATGGGAACGATGCTTCCCAGAGTTGTAAGAGTTCAGAACATATGTTGAAAAGCACTAGCAGAGTGTTTCACACACATAAAATAAATGTTTAGTTGGTTTTTAAAACCAAAATTAGGTTACCTACTTCTTATAAGGTAACTTGGATAGAATTATTCTTTTAAAAATAAAACTTATGTGGGCAGTGTGAAATTTAAATTCATTAACAACCGGTTTGACATGGGTTCTGAACAGTCAGAATGTGCCCTTGCCATGAATAACAAAACCAGCTGTATAGGTCTGTACTCTGCGGCTGTCGCCCTGCATGGAAGCCAAAAAGGGATCCATTTTCAGAGGTCAGTATATGATCTCTGTATTATAATTAGACAGTGCTCTTTATTTATTTATTTTTTTTAATGTTTTATTTATTTCTAGGAGAGAGAGAGAGACAGCGTGAGCAGGGGAGGGTCAGAGAGAGAGGGAATCACAGACTCTGAAACAGGCTCCAGGCTCTGAGCTGGCAGTCAGCACAGAGCCCGACGCGGGGCTCGAACCCACGAACCACGAGATCATGACCCAAGTGAAAGTCGGACGCTTAACCGACTAAGCCACCCAGGCGCCCCAAGACAGTGCTCTTTAATTGCTATTCAAATGCTTATTTAAATGTTAGGAGACCTGTAGTAGGAATCCTCACCATCCCCACTTGACTGATAAAGGAAAAGTGTGGAGGGGCGCCTGAGTGGCTCAGTCGATTAAGCAGTTAAGCGTCTGACTTTGGCTTAGGTCATGATCTCACGGTTTGTGGGTTCTAGCCCCACATCCGGCTCTGTGCTGACAGCTAGCTCAGAGCCTGGAGCGTGTTTCAAATTCTGTGTCTCCCTCTCTGTCTGACCCTCCGCTGCTCATGCTGCCTCCTCTCAGAAATAAATAAAACATTTTTAAAAATTTTTTTAAAAGTCTGCAGAAATAGAATTGGTTCTGTTCTCATATTTGAGCAGTCAGTCCTAGAACTATACAAGCCATATATTGTCTCTGCTTTCATGATGACCTTAGGTTCTACTTGATGGTTTTCAGAATACTCATCTATTATTGCATAGCTGTGTTCGAGCCAGTTCTGGCCCCATCCAATCAGCAGCTGAGATTTTATTAATGTGTTCTTCTGTTCAGTGCCTTTTTCAACAGCTGCAGTTTGTGTTCACCTTCAGAGGGACACACGCTGTATCTTTACCTAGCTGTCCAGCCATTGCATATTATTTTTGTTGCCTAGATCTTAGCCACATCCAGCTTTCTCCAGGAGCACAGATAAAACATCACACTGATGATGTTATCCTCTGAACAGATTCATTTGACATACTCACTGGAGACATATAAATATTCACAAAGGAGCTCAAAAAAATGGAGTGGGCCTTTGCCTATACATAGTACAAGACTTTGCCACCCCAGTTGAATTCCTGAAAATTATTTGGTAGGCTGAGGTGTAGCTGTGCACTGAAGAGAAGGTTCTCAGACATTTAGGTTGAGCAGACAGGCAGGGCTGCCTCTGCCAGTGAAACAGCAACGGCAGCAGCAGCAAACTGCACATAGTCGTTATTTCATGTTCGCCAGGTATAGACATCAAAGAATGTGAAAACATGGGAGGAAAACACAAAGAGCCTCCAGACGTAGACCAACCACACATCTGGTGTTTACGTGAAAACATGTAGGGAAGATGTGCAGCTTTAAGGACTGCTAGGCAGTTACAGGTGTCTGGTTCCCTAACTGGCTCCTGGGAGATCATGGGGCCCTGTTCTCATAGTGCTATCCCGTTTATAGCCTTAAGACCAGAGCATTGCTGACATGTCAGCAATTACCCCATTCTCTTTCCCAGGGCTTACAGTACACCCCCTAGAAATAACTCCCCACTGAGGCCTTCTGCATCTCTGACACTGTCAAGAAATAGCAACAGAGCCTCCCTGTACCCGCAGTGTTAAATCAAGCCCTGTATTTTTTTAAAACTTTTTGGGATCTAGAGGCAACATACTTTTCATTTACAGATTTTTTTTTTCTTTAATACTTCCTCACTTTATTTCATTTACAGATTTTACTTAAACTTGTTTATACTGTTACTCACAAATTGGCTTATCTTGAATTGAGGCCCCTACAATAAAGGGCTGTAAGAATTTCCAAATTGTAATAGAACAATCACTTCTGTTAATGTCCTCTCTCCATACCTCCAGAGAATACTTCACTGTAGAAGCTCTGGCAACCTCCTCTCACACCTGAAGTCTCTGGACCACCCATGATGATTACAAGTTGCCCATGGATTCCGGTGTGAGAAGCTGCCTTCCTCAGGCTCCTGCTATATACCATTAGAGTGGCAGTTGGAGAGTGCATATTGAGCTCTTCTGGAAACCAGAGTTTTTCACAGGCCCTGAACCTGTGAAGCTCCTTATCTTCCTGTGTGTCATGGAGGCAGCATTTACAAGCTCAGAACCGCTACCAGGGCCTCCCTGCTAAGACAGAAATGTTACCTACAGGATAGAGCCGAATCTGGGCCTTCTGGCGTGTTGTACGTATAAGAGAGGTGGCCCCGACTGTCCTTAGTCCCTTGATAGTTGACAAAGTGCTAGAGAAGGTCACCCCTCTCTTAGACCTGTGGCTACCTTGGAAGCCCTTTGGGAACAAATGCGTGAATAGCAGTGGGAGTTTGTACACCTTATGGACAGCACCACAGTTACATGTGATGAAGCTTACTAAAGAGCTCCGTCTTTTCATTCCCTAATCCAGACATCCTTGGTCAGAGCGTGGGATCCAGAGGTCAGCAGAAATAGCTCAACTATAGCCAATCCTAGTCAACAATTGGCTTCATCTCTGCATTTTTACAGACTCCTGGGCCATTGCCAGTGGTGTAGTCATCTGGTTCTGCCAGTGGTAGCAACAGCAATTACTTATCCAAGGTTTTCCTCTTGGAGGAAAATAACTGTGAGCATCTCTGGCCTCACTGATAACCGATAACCGAAATATATATCACGGTTACACATGTCTCTGTACATATTAAGGCCACAGTATAGGCCTCACTTTATCCACTCTGGAGTTCCAGACATTGTTAATAGTGACCATCTCATCTGTAAAAGTATGCAATGCTGGGCTCTTGAACAAGGGTTTCAGACAAGATCGGGCGCGTTCAGGGTGGTATGGCCATAGACTTGAACAAGGGTTTCAGTAGGACTTTCACCATCCCCGCCAGCCTCAGGCTGCAGGCCTCACAAAGCACCATTGTGACATACTCAAGCAAGTTAAAATTTAATTAAATGGAACATGGCATATTTCTATCACTAAACATCAGGGGTGAATTGTAATAATAGTCTGGTGCTATTTTTTATGTCCAAAACCAAAAAGAGTGCCAGTTTGGAGGCAGCCTTCTTCAGGTTCCTCTCCTATCATTTATTGGCTGTGTGTTTTTAGTTAACAATTCTCAACCCCTGAGTCTTCGTTATTGTGAAGAGTAAGTGAAAAAATACATCTAATCCACTTATAATAGTATCTTTCAGTAAATGTTAGCTGTTATTTTTTATATGGAATCCTGTAATCAAGGCAGAAATTCCTGTTTTACTGCTAACAGACCTGAAGTTTAGAGAGAGAAAGTGTATGGCCAAACTTACAACATTTGATCTAGAATCTGAATCCCTAGCCTAGTATCTTTTCTACTGTGTTACATTATTTCTCCCATTAGCCTTCTTTCTACTATACATGATACAAATTATTTCTACAGAGCTTGGAGTTCCTTTAAAGTAAGACACTTTTATAGCCACCATTTAGTGTAGTGATTCTCAAGTCCCTTTTACAAGGCCTGAAGATTTAATTTGTCACACAGGTTCTAAAATTTTAAAACGAAATTAATTCACTTTAATTGCTCTAAAAATAAGGGAGTTTATCAATTAACAATTCTATAAGAGGCAGCATGTCATAAAACCAAGATAGTTACAGGACACGGCCCCTTCAGACAGGTTGAAAGTCTCATTATTTCAGAACACAGCAAATTTCTCTTTTGTCATTCAAAACAAATCAAAGTGGAATCAGTGAGAGCTGAGAATTGTGTGTGTGTACTTTATTATATTAGTGGTAGTAGTATACAAGGAGATGTGACCACTTGCAGGTGTGAGGATTGTTTTCTTTTTTTACTTAAATGCATCTGAATGATGGTAATGTCACCACAAGCTCTCAAGTCTTCCTTCACAAATGTAGCTACTCATTTTAATATTTGTAAATTCTTGAAATTTTCTGTAGTTCTGTATTCTGAATTTTTATGACACAGAAAATGTAAGAAAAATTGCAGTTGATGGAAAGAGATGGCGGTAGAATTAAGAATAGTTTAGGCAAACTGCCTCCTCTCCGAGTTGCTGTTTTTATAAAATAGGCCACTTTTCAGCTCCACATGCATTTTGAGACTTGAATATTGTGAAATGCTTTTGACAGGAGAACCAAAGAAATACGTTTCTCATGCAAAGATTTACTATTTTGTTTAAATTTACTGCCCTCTTTTTTCAAGTATTCCTAAGTAGTACATATGCTATTTTTAAAAAGGAGAGGGAATAAATTTTTTTTACTCTCTCGTCATATTTTGAAAAACTGGGTAATCCCCTCTTGTATTTTATTATTTTTTTTTTCTGGGGTAATCCCCTCTTTAAATTCCTCTCAGTTTAAAGCTTCTGTCTGTGGCTCTTAAATATTGATTTATTTGGAAATGACTTTTCTTTGTTTTTACTTATTGGAAATTGACAAGTACTCTAGAATAGTTCTATCTTGTCCTTATCTCTGTCTCTTTTCTTCCAACTGGGAGGACTTATTCCTAGAACTCAGTAATGATACACTGTAAACTAACTAACTAGCTGGCAAAACCAAATTGAAATTTACATGGATCTTCTGTGTGGTTTTTTGTATTTTGTTTAGGTTGTTTCCCCCCACCAGTTTACCTGCAGTTTATTTCATATTCATTCAACATCTTCCTGTGTAAATAAGACATTACCCCTTTTCCCTTGGTTAATTCCTTCCTAGCAAACCCATATACAAGTTGAGCCAATACATTTTTCCAGATTAAGAAATTTTTTTTTTCTCTTTCTAGATTTAGTGGCTGTTTTATGTCCAAAAGGCCCACTACGTATGCTGGTTGAAACAGCTCAGGAGAGAAATGAAACTCTCTTTCCAGCTCTCATTTATTCCTGTAAGTATTTTGGAATGATGTGAAATTAGTAATCATCTTAGAATTTATAGGAACTCAGTCACAAGTAATCGTGGCCATTATTGTGGCCATCATCTTAAATGCATAGCATTAAGGGAACTTCTACACATCCTTGTTTCCTTGCAAAGTGTTGTTTTCTACTTGACCTTGGTTCTTAAAAGAGTTTTCACTAGGTATAGAACTAGAAGAAATAGGGGTGCTTGTGTGGCACAGTCATTTAAGCATCCAGTTCTTGATTTCAGTGCAGGTGGTTATCTCACAGTTCGTGAGTTTGAGTCCTGCACCATGCTGATGGTGCAGAGCCTGTTTGAGATTTTCTTACCCCCCCAACCCCCCACCTCTCTCTGCCCCTCCCCAGCTCGCCCTCTCTTTCTCAAAAACAAATAAATAAACAAGAAATATTTAGAGAATGGGGAGCCAGTATTCTTATTTTAAATCTCTTATGTCAAGAAAGGTTGAGCATTTGTTATGTATACTTAACTGCCAAAGAAGCTTGTCCTAGCTCACTGAGAGAACAGCACGTTCACAATGTGTTTGCCCCTCTTTTCTTGTTATTTTGGGGTCATAGTCTTCCTAATCATTCAGTACATATGCCTTTGGGCATTGACCTAATCTTCTGCCACAGAGTACTGTGGGGGACATAAAAATGTTTAAGATACTTTGCCTTCCTCAAAGCTCCTTTGCTTACAGTTTAGAGTGTATAAATAAGCAACATAAGAACATAAGGCGTTCTTGTTAACTTGATCCAGAAGAGGCACAATCAGAGTGTCAAGAGAATTCAGAAGAGGGAAAACCTGGCTGGGGAATCAGAAGGCCTTGTGGATGAGGTAACTTTGGATTGAACCTTGTAAGGATAGTAGGATTTCCGCAAACACAGATGGAAGAGTTGGTTCCCTGAAGGGAGCTTGTCACAGAGTGGCTTTGAGACATAAGCATGGGGCATCTTTATCAAATTTCAGGTGTTCAGATTGACTAGAACATGAAGTAGAAATTGGAAAGGCAGATTAGGGCAAGTTCAAGGACAACTTTGTGTAGCTGGTTTAGATATCTGTATGCTATTCAGCGATCACCAGGGAATCACAAAGTTTCTTGAGCAAAAGAGTAACGTGATCAGAGCTGTGGCTCCATAGGCTGGCAGCATTGTGTAAGATGAGTTGGGGGCAGTGAGAACTGAGGTAGTGCGAAGCATAACTAAGCAGATGACGCTGTAATCTAGGTGGGAGATGATGAGGGTCTGAATTTTGGTGTTGGTAATGGCAGTCAAGGGAGAGAGGACTGACTGATGAGAGGTTTTGGAGGTAGAGTCAGTAGGTAATTCCTAGCAACTGATGAGAGAAGTCTTAAGCCTGAAGGAAAGGTGATGAAGAAATGTTTTTCTTGTTTGAGGAGTGTTTAGTTTTGTCTGTGGCACATATCTTACTTCGTTGATGGGACCTCTGAGTCATCCAGGTAAAAACTTCCAGCAGAAGTGTAGAAGTAAAGTGCTAGTTCTTGGGGAAAGGTTGACATCAGAGGTGCAGAACTGAAAGGGTCAGTGTGGTGGGGGCAGTTGAAGCTTTGGGAGTGGATGAGTGGTTCAGACAGAAGTGGATGAGGAGAGGATGTCAAGGAGAGAACCTTTGTCAACTCCTGTGTTTAGAGACTGAGAAAATGAAGAGACAGCAATAAAAGGAAGAGAGGAAGATACCAGAAAATTGGAATAGCCAGGACTTTTTGCTTCAAAAACCAGTATCAGGACTTGTTTTCCTTGTCAGTATGTGAAGTGGCTGCATAGGATTCTCTTACATAGGTGCTCAGAAAAGGTGTCCTTCTTGGTAGACATGTGGATCATTTCCATTTCTTTTCTGTCACAAACCATGCTTGCAGAGACCATCCATTTTTGTAAGATGCATTCTTAAAAATGGAATTGCTAAGTCAAAGGATGTATGCCTTTAAATTTTGATAGATCCAAATTGCCTCCTCAAACAGCTATACCAGTTTTTATTTCCTTTACTTGTGTGAAAGTACCAGTTACACCTTCATTATTACATGTGAGGCAAAAAATAACCTCTTGTTTTATTTTGCATCTTGGCTTAGTAACTAATAACTATTAGTGGCTATTTGGACTTTTTTTCATGTTTTTCTTAAGCTATATATATTTCTTATTTTGTGACTGGTTATATTGTTTTCCATGTTTTTAAAAGTTTTCATTGTACAAGTGATATATTAACGCATTACGCTGGAAAATATTAAATATTTTAGATAGAGCAGAATTTCCCTGTAACTATCATCCCCAATCATACTACCTTACCAAGCAGTTACTTCTGTTATCAATATGATACATATCCTTGTAGGCTTATTCTATCATTATTATTCTGTTGGGCTATTGGAAAAGCAGAGTTTCAAGGAGAGAACATCAGATGCTATAAAACAGCCAAAGATACTGAGGACTAAATAAACCCTATAGATTTGGGTGCCTTGGACATCTTAGGTGACAACTGAGACAGCATTTTGGTAGAGTGATAGGACCAGAGGCAGTAGCTCCTAAGGGAAGAACGTGTGTCTGTCTATGTTTTGCTGTTGCCAGCCCTGGCAGCGGAAGTGATGGTGTGGCCAGAGAACAGGTGGTGAAAGAGGGGTGGGGCAGCACCCATCACCTACTGCCGGAGGGATTCCTGTCTCCTGGCCCGGGCAGTGGTGACTTGAGAGGAGGGCAGGTCTACAGAAAGGAGTTTGCAGGAGACAGAAGATGTAACTCTGTTTCTAAGGCTGAGAGGAAGGAGTCAGTGGAGAAACCGTCTGGAGAGACCAACAAGAAGGAATGATTAATGGAGCACGGCTATCAACAAAGCAGGTAGAAATTGCTCTAAGAGTTCAGGAAGAGGAATTAGATGAGAACAGAGAAAGGCCTGGAAAGAAGGAAAAAGGAAGACAGAAAAGCAGAGGGTAATGAGACATAGTGAAAGATACAGGTAAAGTTGAGAGCACATGTTAGTTCACCTTAATCTTCCTTGTGAACTCGATGTGAGGTCATTTGTGGGAAGTGGAAAGGTGGAGACTGCTTGTAGCTGGAGGAATCTGGTAAAGTGCTAAGAAACCCATTGTCTGGAATGCAAGGATCTTTGTATTACTCTTCTTCCAGTATAAATGTATTATCATGTGCTTCCTGTGTTTTTAGCAGAAAAGAACAGATGAAGTTCTGAACATCAACATTTTCCTCTTAACATTTGGGTGTGAGCTTCTTATGTGTTGTTCCTGGAAATTAAAATCCATTTAAGTTTTTCATATTTGTGCATGCAGAATGTTCCACCAAATGTTAATAGTGCATGCTGGTTAGAAGTAACCTAGTATCCATCAAAGGGAACACTTTCAAATAGTTATGGTACAGTCATAAAATAGGTAATTGTCCAGCCATTAAAAAAAGAATGAGGTAGTGGGGCACCTGGGCGGCTCAGTCACTTAAGCATCTGACTCTTGATTTCGGCTCAGGTCATGATCTTGTGATTGTGAGATCGAGACCCACGTTGGGCTCTGTGCTGGGGCTTGGAGCCTTCTTGAGATTTTCTCTCCCTCCCCCTCTGCCCTTCTCCTGTTTGCATGCTTGCTCACTCTTGTTCTCTCTCTCTTTCAAAAAAAAATGCAGTATCTCTGTATATGTCCAATTTTGAGGTGGTTTTTTTTTTCAACGTTAAAGATTCCATACCAAATACAGAAGCAAGATTGAAAGCAATAATGCAATATCCTATGGGAGGAGTAGGGGAAGGAAACTATCTATGTATGGATGTCTGTGTACATGCAATCCTGTTGATACATTTTAAAAACTGACAGAAGTCTAGCAGTGTTTACCTTCGAGATGTGGAATTTAGAGATTGAGGTAACTTTTATATTTTTCTTTATACCTTTCTCCACTTGTAGAGTTTTAATTCTCCTTTGTGTTTTTTAAAGTTAATTATTGAATGTCAAAGGGGAAGGGTTTTGAGTTTTTAAGTTATTCTTTGTGTTTTCATAATTTTATGTTGTTTTACTGTTTTGTCTACTGTTAGCTTTTGCCACAATAGTGTGTAACAAACCACCTTAAAATCCAGTACCTTAAAAATACGAGTCATTTATCACTACGGCCCCCCCACCCCCACCATCTGCAGGTCATTTGACTCCGCTGATCTGAGTCAGCTCTTCTACCTCTGCTCCATGTGCTCCCCTTGGTCCAGCAGTGGGCTAGCCGAAGGCCTGTTCTTACTGGCTAGAGGAACAAGAGAGCAGCAGCAAGGCCTTTTAAGGCCTAGGCTCGATGTTAGCATGCCATCATCTCTGCCACGTGTCATTGGTTGAAGCAAACCACATAGCGGAGCCCCAGGTCAGGAAGAGGAGAACGAAGTGGCATTCCTAGTGCTGCCATGACGTGCATGTGGGTGCAGCAGGGGTGAAGAATTAGCAGTAGTTTTTCAGTTTGCCACAACGTTAAACATACATTTTGATTTTATACAGCAAATAAGCATTTACTTTGTTGTTTTAAAATATCATTCACATGTAGTATTCTTAAAAATTCAAGTCTGCATAATATTTGACATTCTGAGATATTTTAACAGTAATTGAACATATGTGGAAAAATGTAAGCATAAAACTTTGCCTTCTATGTAGATCAGACAGGTCCAAGAAAGCATCTGTTCTCATGAAATACTAAATCTGTGATGAGGATTTATAAATCACTAAATTTGAGAGGGCTTTTTTTAAAATGAAAATGTATGTTTGTTTGTTTATATTAGAGTATGAGTCAGGGAGGGGCAGAGAGAGAGGGAGAGAATCCAAAACAGGCTCCACGCACTGTCAGCACAGAACCCAACGCAGGGCTCTGAACTCACCAGCCGTGAGAACATGACCTGAGCCGAAGTAGGCCGATTAACCGACTGAGACACCCAGGCTCCCAGAGAGGACTTTATTTTTTTAACCAAAAATTTTTTTAAATGTTTGTTTATTATGGAGAGACAGAGAGAGACAGAGCCTGAGCAGGGGAGGGCCAGAGAGAGGGGGAGACATAGAATCCGAAGGAGGCTCCAGTCTCCAAGCTGTCAGCACAGAGCCCGACGCGGGGCTCGAACTCACAAACCGTGAGATCATGACCTGAGCCGGAGTCGGACGCTTAACTGATTGAGCCACCCAGGCACCCCATTTTTTTTAAACCAAATTTAAGAAAACAGCGGTATTAATCAGTACTTTTTCCCTCACCTGGAAAAAAACACTAAAGTGAAAAGTTTTAATCAGTCTTCTTGACTATTTGCTCTTTTTAAAAAAATTTTTTAACATTTATTTATTTTTGAGAGAGAGAGAGACAGAGCATGAGCAGGGGAGGGTCAGAGAGATAGGAAAACACAGAATCCGAAGCAGGCTCCAGGCTCTCAGCTGTCAGCACAGAGCCCAACACAGGGCTTAAACCCATGGGCGACGAGATCATGACCTGAGCCAAAGTCAGACGCTTAACCAGCTGAGCCACCCAGGCTCTCCTACTATTTGCTCTTTTAAAATGCCATCTATCTTTGGAGTGCCGGGTGGCTCAGTTGGTTAAGCATCTGACTCTTGATTTTGGCTCAAGTCATGATCTCACTGTTCGTGAAATCGAGTCCCATGTGGATCTCAAACTGCACTGGCAGCTTGGAGGCTGCTTGGGATTCTCTCTCTCCCTTTCTTTCTGCCCCTCCTTCTCTTTCTCTCTCTCAAAATAAATATTTTTTTTTAAAAAAGCAATCCTTTTATGCATTTGTATACTCTTCCTCAGTTAAGGATATTTGGTTTGCAAAAGTATCTTAAACAAAAATACTCTGTTTCCATCGTCCTGACAGGAAAAATGTACACCTGGATTTGGAACTAAATCATTCTTCCCTAGTAGAGGCAATCTACTCTGGTAGCTTATCAAAAGTGAGGCTAACAGTTCTTGAGGTAGACCACTTCATTTAAAGCTTTTCTTTGATTTCATATCAGTTTGGGGGAATATAGATTATGTTAAGCTTTAAATTGTGTATTTTTCTATTAATCTAAGATGTTTGGTGTTAAAAGATTGAAAAGTGGGTTTTTAAATATTATTTTAGTGATATGAATTCATTCAACAAATATATATTCTGTTCATGATAATTTACATCATTGGTTAGCAAATTACTGCCTGTAGCCAAATCTGCCCACAACCTGTTCTTGTACAGCCTGTTCACCAAGAGTAGTTTATACAGTTTTAATAAAAAAAAGAACAAAGAAGAGTATGTGGCAGAGACCAGATGTGACCCGTGAGCCCAAAACATTTGTTTTTTGGCTCTTTATAGAGAAAGTTTGCTGATGCCTGATTTCCATGGTACTGTTAATTTTTTTTTAATGTTTACTTATTTTTTGAGAGAGAGAGACAGAGTGAGAGTAGGGGAGGGGCAGAGAGAAAGAGACACACAGAATTCCAAGCTGGCTCCAGGCTCCAAACTGTCAGCACAGAACCCAACGCGGGGCTTGAACTCACAAACTGTGAGGTCATGACCTGAGCCAAAGTCGGATGCTTAACCAACTGAGCCACCCAGGTGCCCCTCCATGGTACTATTAAGTGTTAAAACAAAAGAATTTGTATCTCATACTTGTTATACTTGCATAGAGAAAGAAAATCAAATAAATACTTGCTACCTTTATTGCCAAGAAGTCTTACAGAAACCCATAAGCCTTATACACAGTGGTCACCCTTCCATTTCTCTTCTTTGGGTGTGAATTTAGACAGTGTAGTGCCTGCCTGGATTATGTTGACTTTAACCAGTTATTTGGGTTATCATATAATGAAACTTGTTTGACCTCAAAATCCCAAAGCCGCAGTGAATGAGTAAGTGTGGCTATTAGAGAATTTTCAGCTTCTTTAGTTGTGTATTTCTTTCATAAGTTAATCAAGAAGCTTCAAAGTATTAGGAACATGGATATAATTATAAAATCAGTGATAACCAGCCAGAAATACATAGATGCCAAGTGTCTTATTTAAAATTTACTGTGACCATAGATTGGACTCAGGTTGCTTCTGGTATTTAGTCCCTGCTATCACCCTGTATGCACATGTTTATAAGTAGTTTTGTATTATTGTTAGTGTATTTGGGGGATAAATTCCCTAAAGTGGTATTCCTGAGTAAAAGGGTTAATGCACAGGTAGTTTTTTTTTTAATTGAAGTATAGTTGACATACAATATTATAGTAGTTTCAGACGTGATTCATCATTTATATACATTATAAAATGCTCACTGTGTTAAGTATAGTTACCATCTGTCACCTTACAAAGTTATTATATTTCTGACTTATTTCCTGTGCTGTACTTTACGTCAGTGTGACTTATAACTCAAAAAGTTTATACCTCTTAATATATTTCATCTATTTTGCCCATCCCCCATCCACCCTCCCCTCTGACAACTACCAGTTTTCTGTATTTATGAATTTGCTTCTGTTTTGTTTATTCATTTGTTTTAGCATGGGTAAAGTAGCATAAACATCTAGGTTCGTCCATGTTGCAACTGGCAAGATTTCATTCTTTTTTTTATGACACAGTTTTATTATATGTCACCAAATTCTCCTTCAACAGAAGCTATATAGGAGCTATACCATTTTTCATCCCACCTGCCATACACGAGAAGCACCATTTTTAAAAAAATTTTTTTAATGATTTTTATTTATTTCTGAGCGAGAGAGAGAGACAGCATGAGCAGGGGAGGGTCAGAGAGAGAGAGGGAGACACAGAATCCGAAGCAGGCTCCAGGCTCTGAGCTAGCTGTCAGCACAGACCCTGATGCGGGGCTCCAACCCACGAACCCTGAGATCATGACCTGAGCTGAAGTCAGATGCCAACCCCGGGCGCCCTGTGAGAAGCACCATTTTAAAGTATTCATGTTGTCCTTTAACTAAAATGTGACAGAGATGCATGTGTATATACCTAGATCTATATAGATATATATGAACTTTTATGGAAAGGACATAGAATAAATCACTTGACTATCCCTTTTATGTTTATTGCTTTTAACCTTTTTTATTCTTCATATATCATGTAGTTTAGCATTACTGGAAATCCCAGAAATGAGAGATATTGTGAAAGAAACTTATTCTCTGCATTCTTAGAATCATAATGATCATCTGATGCTTTTGTGCACCCCGTTTTGTTCTCTAATTTAGTTCCAGTAAGTAATTTTCATCAGTGATTTCACACTGATTTAGGTTATTCAGCTAGTCCAGCTCGAGTGTTGCTGGCCTGAACAGTTTTCTCTCTGGTTACTTTGCAAGGACTGGAAATGATGAGGAACTGTTTTTTTTTTTTTTTACAAATAGTTTATTGTCAAATTAGTTTCTACATAACACTCAGTGCTCATCCCCAAAGTGCCCTCCTTCATGCCCATCCCCCCCTCCCCCCCACATCCATCAGTCCTCAGTTTTTGTCAGCATTCAAGAGTCTCTCATGGTTTGCCTCTCTCCCTTTCCCCCACCATTTCCGCCCTTCTTCTCCCCCTTGTTCCTCCTATACGTGCAAACATATGGTATTTGTCCTTCTCTGCCTGACTTATTTCGCTCAGCATAACACCCTCAAGGTCCATCCATGTTGCTACACATGGCCAGATTTCATTGTTTCTCATTGCCATGTAGTATTCCATGGTATAGATAAACCACATCTTCTTGATCCATTCATCTGTTGATGGACACTTAGGCTCTTTCCATGTTTTAGCTATTGTGGAGAGTGCTGCTATGAACATTGGGGTACATGTGCTCCTATGCCGATGAGGAACTGTTTTACTATAGCATTTGTACTTAGGAAACTGGAATGTGATGCTCAATTTTAGGATTTTTTCTTTAATCTACCCAAATCAAAGAAAACCTTTTATGGTTTTTAATGTGCCTTTACTTCTGATTGTTAAGGATGGTTCAGGCAACATTAAGAATATTGGTGATTTGTGTAGGAAGATAATGGTCTGTTCTCTAGCCACATACTTTCTGTGTTTCAAGTTCTTACCTGGACTTTTATCTTTCCCAACAGCAACAATGGTGTGGTTGGTGAATATGGCGGAAGGAGACCCAGAAGCCCAAAGGAAGGTATCCAAAAACTCCAACTGTAACGCACAAAGTAGGTGACTTTTATTTGGTAATTTCCTGTTTTTTCTGGGTCATTGTCCTGTTATGTTGGCTAACACTGAGCTATGAAGCAATGATTTTAACCTCTGTCTTTGATCATGGACTCTTGAGCACCTCCTGAGAGCTGTGGTAATACCCAGTAAATACAGATACATATTTAAGGAGTTCAGACCCTCTAAACCCAACTATACAGCCAGGGCACCCTAGGTAAAGAATTTCTACCATTTAGTACTGTTAATACCAGTATGGAAAGGTTCAAGTTGAGGCTATGATTTAAAAAAGGAAAAATAATCTTGGTCTGCAAACATGTAAAAATGAGAGCCTCTTGTCCAATATGGCCAGAGTAATTTAAGTATAATTTGACTTGAGATGCGATCATTCTTATGCCAAGATGATAAAATATTCCAGGTGGACAGGAAGGAGGAAGGAGTATAAAAGTGAGGATCCAGGGTGGGAGATCAGAAGGCCCCTGTGGGTACTTCCAAATATGTTAAGAAGAACATATGGTAGGAATTGCTGGAGAGAATTGGAGTAATAGCACACCGTGAATAGTCAAGAAGAAAGGAAAGTTCTTTTTAAAACAAAAAGAGCTAACCTTATGAGGAAGCTGAGAAATAGGCAGAGTAAAGATTGGTGAGAGAAGAAAAAAGGGCCTTAATCGAGTTACTGTTTGTCAGGAAAAAGGAAGTTGGGGTTTTATGGAGCCAGGAGATCTGCTGAGTTGGCACTAGGGTGACTGAGAAAAGGGCACTGTCCACTCAGAGCCCCCCAGCAGTCCTGGTAGAAAAGTAGGAAACATACTGGAAACAATTGCTACAAGTCTGGTTATTGTGTTAAACTGTGTGAAACTAAAGAAATTGAAAAGATCTGTTGTCTGTGAGTATGTATGTATGAGTGTGGTTTTTGGTACATCAATATTTTATTCTTTTGACAAATAGCGATTGAGCACCTGAGTGCCTGATATTTTACTGGGCACTAGGGTACACCACTGGACAAGGTATCTTGTCCTCGTGAAGCTTCTAACCTATTTGGAGAGATACAAATGTTCAACAACTGATTCCATAAATAATTCATACAGTTGTGATCAGCACTACAAAGGAGATGTGTAAGTTGCTATGAAAGTTTATAGTAGAGGAATTTCCTTTTCTCTGGAAAATCAGGAAGGCTTCCCTGAGGCAGTGATAATAGGTGATGACCAGCTGAAGAGTCAAAGAAGAACTTTCTAGAAGAGGAAACAACATGAAGAAAGGTGTGCAGTTAGAAGGAGCTGGATGAACTTCTCAGTGGGAGTGCTGTGGTATTTTAGGTGGGCAATTCTTCATGTGTGAGGCTTCCCCTCACTGCAGGATAGTTAGCGTTCCTGGTCCCTCACTCACTGAATTCTAATAGTGGCTTTGAGGGGTTGCAGTAACGAAAAAGGCCTCCATCCTAGTTCTTCCCAAACACCCCCTGGAAGGGAGATGCTACCCCCTAGCTGAAAACCACTGTGTTAGAAGAACTAGAAGTTTGATTGGAACAAAAAAGGACACAAGGCTCTAAGAGGGATGTCTGAAGGTTCCAAAGTAGGGGTGAGGAGGGAAGGGGCAGAGCAGGCAGTGCGATTTTTATTTACAAAGCTTATGTTTAGCTTATGTTTATATGATTCTGTAAACTCCAAACCATAGAAGATTCAGTTTTTGTGAAGACCTGCTTAAGAAAAAGAATAGAAATTACAAATACAGAATTGCTGTGGCCCCTCCCAGAAGAATTCCATGCAAGTGAGAGGCCTGAAGTATGCAAGCTTTATTTGTTCATGGTAAATCTGCCTCTGCTATGAGCATGTTTTACTTTTATTAAAAATAATAATAAAGGAGAGAAAAGTGTTATCAGCTTCACATATATTTTAATTATTTTTACTGTATGGAAGTTTCTCAGGATTATCATGTTATGCTCACAGTTTTCAGTAAGATTGATCATCACTTATAACGCAGTGACTGGCCCATAAAAAAAATTCACCCCTCCTTTCCTACCTCACCCCACCTCCCATAATGGTCTCCTTTTTATCATGGTCACCGAAGCAGTTGGTGAGCACCATCATTTAGGAAGCTTTCAGCCACCAAGATCAGAAAACTCAGCTCAGTTGCTTTAAACAAAAAAGAGTTATGTTCTCTCTTATGTTAACTTAGAGTTAAGTCCTAAGGTGTAGGCATTTGTAGGGTTGGGGAATTTTATGGTTCATTGATGTCATCAAGGGCCCAGGTTCTTTCCATCTTCCGGTTCTGTCATCTTTAGATACAGGCTTGGTCCTCAGCCCACTGCTTCTCATGGTCAGAAGATGGCAGCTGCAGTTCCAGGCATTTTATCCAAATAAGGCATCATCCAGGGTTGGAAAGGGGCTGTTTGTTTCTTCCTTAAATCTCTCCTAAAGAGTGAGAAAAATTTTCCCCAAATTCAGAGCAGACTTGGCCTCAATCAATACACATTGGCTAGTACCAGCCTCAACCTTAGAGCTTTCATTGGGAAGAGATTACCATGTTTGGCCTGGGCGGATCATGATTTACCACCAGAGTTGTGTGCAGGAGAGGTAGAAACCCAAACAAATCAGGACTCTGCCCTCAGGAAACAAGGAAAGAAATGGCTATTGGGTAAGCAACCTCCAGGCACCTTTACAGCGTGTGATTTGTAGTTTAAGAGCCAGCTAAGCTAGTTGGCAGTGACAGTTGGATAGTTACTGTTTCCATGTAGTTTTCTTAAAGGTATTAACATTTTTTCTAAAAATTTTAGAGCTGTAATTTCCACTTTTTCTTGAAGCCACAGAAGGTGAGTCCCAAGACCCTGTGACAGAGAATGATGATGGTGGCTTCAGTGAAGAGTGGGAAGCCCAGAGGGACAACCGCCTAGGGCCTCATCACTCTACGACGGAGTCACGAGCTGCTGTGCAGGAACTTTCCAGCAGCATCCTGGCCAGTGAGGACCCAGAAGAAAGTATGTGTGTTACTATACATGGTAGAGTCATGGCTGGGGTCATTTAGGGGCTACATTACCAAACTCTCAAAGATAAAATGGATCGAGAGTGGTACAGTCTAATTCTGAATAACAGAGTATAGCACTTAGTGAGAAATATTAATAGTTGTTGCTTTTCTCATAGCTATATTTGTTAATGGGCCAAATTCTGCCTCTCAGATTTTTGAAAGTGTCCCTTTACAGCCTGAAATTTTGCATTTGTTTTAAAAGGTAAAAGATTTTTTGAAATTATTATTCCAGTAAGACTCATGACTGCAATATTTATGTACAAAAATTTCATTACTATATTTCCTCTTTGCTCTGTAGAGATCTGTGGGTTTGAATGTTTCAGCCTTTTACATCATTATTCCCTTTACTGGAAAGCACTCTATTTTATTAATTTTAAAGGAAATCAAAAGGATTTTGGCTATTGGGAGAAATGTAAACATTTGTTCAGTGTCTAAGATATGTTGTCACTTAGACTTAGGTTAGCACTTGGGGCTTCTTGGGAACATTATCAGCCAGTAGAGCCCCCCCCCCCCCCCCGCCTCCTTGGTTAGGGTTCCAGCATTTCTTCAGTTAATTTTAGAGATAATGATTATTAAGAGATTAGCACATTTTCCAAGTAAATTATTCTCCGTGTTTTTTTTTCTCAGGAAAGGGAAGCTCTTGATTGATTAAAACATTATGGTGAAAATACTAAGTACTTTTTAAAGAAGCAAACACCTAAATTTCTTGGCTTCTTTATTCACTAATAACTAATTGTTATGATCTTGACATTATCCTTGAGCTTGAGCAGAACACAACACTTCTTACATATAGCTCAGCCTTAGTCTTTTAACTGGGACAGAACCTGGGCACATATTTAACTTTGGTGCTTGGCTGAGTTTTCCAGATGTTAGAGTCAGCTATAGCCTGCAGCTTTCACACTCCAGGGAAACTAGACACAGTTGCCTCGTCTTACAGCCACGCTTGAGCTTCCCTTTGCTGATATATTCTCTGCCTGCAAAGTTACCACCGTAATTAGGTTGTGTCTTCTGTTCTCTTTTCTCGAAGGTGCCTACAGCCAAAAGAAGTAATATAGCTGTTGAGTATATAGCAGTCTTTCATGACTGACCTTGCATCTTGAGTTCTCTCTCCTCATCATCTTTCATGTTCTCTTTGTCTCTACTTTTTTTTTTTTAAAGGAAAACCTGAGTATTGCCCCTTCTAATTTCAGAATGATATTTCTTTTTCTAGGGCCAGTGTAAACTAATAATTGATACTCTTTCATCATCTTAGCTTCCAGTAATGTAATCCTCTCCGGACAACCTTTTAAAATCAGCATTCGATAGAAAACTGAAGAGTTTTGTTTTTTTTTTTTTTTTAATTAGAAATGTAAACTATTAACAAAACTTTTTTAAAGTTTATTTTAGGGACAGAGCATGAGCCGGGGGGAGGGGCAGAGAGAAGGGGAGACACAGAATCAGAAACAGGCTTGAGTCTGAGCTGTCAACACAGAGCCTGACGCAGGGCCCAAACCCACGAACTGTCGATCAAGACCCAAGCTGAAGTTGGATCCCTAACCTACTGAGCCACCCAGGTGCCCCTAAAATATTTTTATCTCATGTGAGGCAGTTGGTCTTCCTTCTAGTGAATTTCAAAATATACTTCCCTCAAACATCATGCCATGAGTAGCAGGCTCATCCTAAGTGTACTAATCAGTAGAGTTAAAATGTATCAGCATAGTGAAATTAGCCTGTTGTGTTTTCAGGACTGGAAATTTGACTCTAGATAATCTTTTCTGTAACCTCAAGGGAAGTGAGGGAGAGGAATTTTGCTATTAACTTCAAGTAGAAGGAGAGGTTTTAGTAAAAAAGTAAAATAATACATTTTAGGCAAGTGGGTTTTTTTGGTTTTTTGATTCTTTTTAATGTTTTATTTATTTCTGAGAGAGAGACAATGTGAATAGGGGAGGGTCAGAGAGAGAGGGAGACACAGAATCCGAAATGGGCTCCAGGCTCTGAGCTAGCTGTCAGCACAGAGCCCGACGTGGGGCTCGAACCCACGAACCGCGAGATCATGACCTGAGCCGAAGTCAGACGCTTAACCGACTGAGCCACCCAAGGCGCCCCAGGTGTTTTTGTTTTTTTTTTTAAGCCTTTATTTTTGAGTACTCTCTATACCTAACATGGGGCTCAAACTCACAACCCCAAGGTCAAAAGTTGCATGCTCTACCAGCTGAGCCAGCCAGGCGCCCCTCAGGCAGTTTTTAGTATGTTTATATTTATTAAAAAGATAATAGGAAATACTGTTTTTTATGTTACTATATTTAAGCAAGGCACATATGACTCTGCTAGAGTTGTTTAAAGAAATGTTACAATTAAAGTAATATTCATCGTAATTTATTATCTTCACCATGTCTTAGATTTGGTAGACCAAGAAATGTTCTTTTTAATATTAAAAGAACACCATATTACTTGAAGTCATTTTTCAGAGTCGATAAAAATAACAGAAGGCCCAGACCCCAATTAGCAAATAGCAGTAAAATAATAGCCAGTCCCAGCATTAACACTTGCCAGTAGAGGGGTGTCTAGCTGGCTCAGTGGGTAAAGCACACTACTCATATCTCAGGGTCATGAATTAGAGCCCCATGTTGGGCATGGAGCCTACATTAAAAAAAAAAAAAAAACATTTGATAGTAGAATACTGTTATTGCATTTTGACCAATGTAAGCAATTTTGATTGCTGTGGTTTTAGTTATTTGGCTATGGCACATTTTGATTGAGTAAATCAAAAGGAGCTATTTAAAGAAAAATTCCTGAGCAACATGATATCTCTTAGGTTTTATATACTGGTTCAGTTTCTTCTGCTTATATGTGAATAAAATTTGACACTTTAGTAAATGCCTAAGGAAAAAAAATGATGGTTTACTTCTTTGTTTCCTTTCTCTATTTTAATTTTGCTAATAAAATATACTTCCATTTTTCTCTCCATTAAAATGAATTCTGTGAAGTATAACTAACAGCATTTGCCATAATAATTGCAATGAAACATAAGCCTTTAAGTGAAAAAAGTGAGACCACAATTTTAGGCTTGATTTAATACATTTTTTTTGTTTCTATTTTATAGCTTTATTGAGGCATAATCCACATAATATATACAATTCACCCATTTAAAGTGATATCTTTAGTATATTCACAGAATTGTTCAACCATCACCACAATTAATTTTAGAACAGTCTCATCACCTCCAAAAGAAATCCTACACTCCTTAGTTGTCCAGCTCTCCAATCCTTTCCATCCCCCCCATCTAAAGTACACAATGCAGTGATTTTTATTGTATTCACAGAACTGTGCAACCATCACTACAAGTGAATTTTAGAACATTTTTATCACCTCAGAAAGAAAGTCTGTACTCATTAGCTCCCATGTCCCCCCAACACCAACAAATACACTGTCTTAGATTTGCCCACCCTGGACAGTTCATGTAAATGAAATCATACAATATATCATCCTTTGTACTGGTTTCTTTCCCTAAGGCTAATGTTTTCAAAGTTCACCTATGTTGTAGTATGTATCAGTACCTCATTTATTTTTTTATAGGCAAATAGTATTACATTCTATGTATATACCACATCTATTATCCATTCATCAGATAATAGACATCTGAGTTGTTTCCATTTGGGGCTGTTATGCATAAGGTTGCTATGAATATTCATGTACCAGTTTTCGTGTGGACATGTTTTTATTTCTCTTGGGTATATACCCAGGAGTAGAATTGCTGGGTCCTATGGTAACTCTGTGTTTAACCTTTTGAGAAACTGCCAGACTGTTTTCCAAAGCAGCCATACTATTTTACATTCTCACCAGCAGTGTGTGGATGCTGCAGTTTTTCCTCACCAACATGTATTATCTTTTTGATTATAATCATTCTAGTAGGTATAAAGTAGTGTCTCATTATGGTTTTCAATTGCATTTCCCTAATGCTAATGATATTGAGTATTTTTTTGTGTGCTTATTGGCCATTTTTATTTTTTCTTTAGAGAACTATATTCAGATCTTTTGGCCATTTTTATTTGCCTCTTTATTGAGTTGTAATGATTCTTTGTATATTCTAAATACAAGTTTGTTTTCAGATAACTGCAAAATGTTTTTCCTGCATTATTTTAAAAATCTCATTTCTGTAACATTTTTTTTCCCCCAAGGACTTGGTTTTAGTTTCTTATAGCACTTAACATTTGAAATTGAAATCTAAATCTAAGGCCATTCTATGTTTTAGCCTTTATATGTGCCAAGAACTTTTCCTGTATTATTTTTTAACTTTTTTTTAATGTTTATTTATTTTTGAGAGAGAGAGACAGAGCATGAGTAGGAGAGGGGCAGAGAGAGAGAGACAGAGACGGAGATACAGAATCCAAAGCAAGCTCCAGGTTCTGAGTTGTCAGCACAGAGCCCAATGAGAGACTTGAACTCATGAGCTGTGAGATCATGACCTGAGTCAAAATCAGACCCTTAACTGACTGAGCCACCCAAGTATACCCCCCCCTTTATTTTTTTAATGTTGATATATGTTTGAGAGAGAGAGACAGAGCACAAGCAGGGGAGAAGCAAAGAGAGAGGGAAACACAGAATTCGAAGCAGGCTCCAGGCTCTGAGCTGTTAGCACAGAGCCTGGCGTGGGGCTCGAACCCACAAAATGTGAGATCATGACCTGGGCTGAAGTCAGACACTTAACTGAGTCACCCACATGCCCCTAGTTTTTAATTCTTGATAACAGCCCTATGTAATAGCTCATAATCCCCATCTTAGAGCTGAGGAATTTGAGGATTAAAAGAAGTTAATCACTTTGTTCTGGATCATACAAGTACTTAAATAGTAGCACTGGCCTCTTCTGTACATGTGAAACTGGTGTATGTATTCATCACTCTGGGAAGGTTAGCAAGTTCAAGGGTAGCTGACCCTGTAGTTCATAGCATTGGATTTCATGGGTCATAAGTTTATCTTTTCCGCTAAGGAAGACTTCAGTCTGGCTGCCACAACTCAAGAACACTGGTTTCTTCATAATACCTTACTAACCAGCCCTCTGTTTATTTCTCACCCACATGTGGAACACCCCATTCTTCCCAGGGACCTCTGCCTCTGTCCCCTGGAGGTGGTTTCTCTAACCCAGGCAACTAAACTTTGAAATCAGGGTCAAACTTCAGTTGGGAGTAATTACTTAACAGAAAAATGAAAGCCACTTGTAAAGCTTTATGGTTGAATAATGGACTCGAAGTTAAAACATATCTTTTGAGTCCATATTTTAGCCTTTACTTAATTGTATATTTTTTTGAAAAGAATTTGAAGGAAAAAAATGTTGGATAACAGAAAACCTATGGCATTTGCATTTCTTGCAAGTTTTAGAATCATCTTGTCAATGTCTACAAGCTACATTTCAAAAAAACAGAAATGTAAAGAATTTTGAATACCCAAAACAGTTTTGAAAGAGAAGGAAAAATTGGTGGATTTATACTATTTGACTTCAGAACTTACTCTAAAGCCATAGTAATTGGGCACCTGGGTGGCTCATTCGGGTAAGTGTTCAGCTTCAGCTCAGGTCATGGTCTCACGGTTCATGAGTTCAGACCCGCATCTGGCTCTCAGTGGTGACAGCTCAGAGCCTGCTTCAGATCCTCTGTTGCCCTCTCTCTGCCTCTCCTCTGCTCATGCTCACTCTCTCTCTTTTAAAAATAAATAAACACTAAAAAAAAAAAAAAAAAAGCCATAGTAATCAGTTCAGGCACAAGGAGAGGCATTATAAATCAGTGAAACAGAATTGCGAGTCTAGAAGCAAATACTTAGATTTGTGGTCAATAATTTTTTTTTTTTACAAAGATGCTAAAATAATTCAACAGGAAATGGATATGTAATCTTTTCAACCAGTGGTGCGGGGACAATTAGATACCCACATGCAAAAGAAAGAATGGAAACTCCTGCCTCACCCTATCCATCCATCATTCACACAGTCAAAAATGAACTCAAAATGGATCATAAACTGAAATGTGAGTGGTTAAACTAAAACTTCTAGAAGAAAACATTAGAGAAAAACTTTAAGACCTTGGGATGGGCAGAGTTCTTCAATACAACACTGATATACAGAAGAAAAAGTCGATAGATTAGACTTGGCCAAAGTTAAAAACTTTTGCACTTCAAAAGATACCATTAAGAGGAGAGATATTTGTACACCCAGTTTCATAGCATTACCCACAATAGCCATGAGGTGGAAGCAACCCAGGGATCCATTAATGGATGAGCATATAAATAAAATGTGTATACATACTCTGGAGTATTATTCAGCCTTGAAAAGGACATTCTAACACATGCTATATAACATGGATGAACTTGAGGACATTATGCTAAGTGAAGTAAGCCAGTCACAAAGAGGCAAATCCTGTATGATATGAAGTACCTAGAGTAGTCAGACTCAGAGACAGAAAATAGAACGATGGTTGCCAGAGGCTGGCGGGAGGGAAGAAAGGAGTTTGTGTTTAATGGGTACAGAGTTTTAGTTTTGCAAGATGAAAAGAGTTCTGTGAATGGATGATAAGAATAGTGGTACAACAGTGTGAGTTTACTTAATGCCATTGAGTTGTGTATTTTACCACAACTAAAACCACAAAAAAAAAAACCCACAACTTTTTTTTAAAAAGATACCATTAAGAAAAGGAAAAGAGGGGTGCCTGGGTGACTTAGTTGGTTAAGCATTCATTCAACCTTTGATTTTGGCTCAGGTTATGATCTCACAGTTTGTAGGATCCAGCCTGGCATCAGGCTCTGCTGATAGTGTGGGACCTGCTTGGGACTCTTTCTTTCTCTCCCTCTCAAATAAACAGAAAAAAAAAAGAAGGAAAAGAAGGCACAGACTGTGAGAAAATCTATACAAATCATATTTCAAGTTCTATTCAAGACTTGTGTTGAGAATATATATACATATAAAGAATGCTTACAACTCAATAATATGGAAGATTAACCATTAAAAAAATAGGGAAATGCTTTGGATAAACATTTCACCAAAGGAGAAATATAAGAGGTAATAAACACTTCAACACCATTATTCAGAATGGCTATCATCACAAAGGCTAGCAATACCAAGTGTTGGTAAGGGAAGTAAAGAAACCAGAGCCCTCAGGCATTGCTGGTAGCAATGTAAACTAGTGCAGCCAGCATGGAAAACAATTTGGCAATTTCTTAAAAAACTAAAGATAAAGTTACTATATTACCCAGCAATCCCATTTATAGGAATCTACCCAATGGAAATGAAAACAATGTCCACACAAAGATGTGTATGCCTGGTCAGCGCAGAACGTTCATAGCACCATTATTCATAATAGCCCCAAACTGAAAACAACCCATTGTCCATCAACTAGTGAAATAGTGTATTCATACAGCGGAAAACTGACCAGTAAAAAGAAAGTACAGACACGAGCAGTATCTTGGGTAAACCTCAAATATCTTGGGTAAACCTCAAAAATATGTTACGTTGAAAGAAGCCAATCACAAAGACTACATACTGTTACATTTCCGTTTCTCTGAAGTGTCTAGAAAAGTCAAATTTACACAGAAGATATCAGTGTTGCTTAAGGCCTACAGTGATGGGAATGTGGATTGTGGTGATGGTCGGACAACTCTATAAATCTTTTACAATAATTGAACAGTGGGTGAATTTTATGAAGTAAATGATAACCTGTCTCATAGGAGTTCTTGTGAAGATTTGTTAGAACAAGTGCCGCATGTAAACTAGGCAGTCAATAGATGACCAATATTGTTCTTGTTATACATGACAACAGCATCTAACTGTGAAAGACCACAGAGCCAGCCATATAGAATCTGAAACTCATATTGGCAGAGAACAGAAAAGAAAGAAAACCTAGCTAAAGCCAATATTTACATATCGTTTACTGCTTTCTCATTCAATACAGGATGGAATACGGCAGTGACATTTTTGAACTGATGGCAAAGAGTGACAAACTTTTATATTCATAATCTTTTCCTTTTTAGGGGGAGTAAAACTTGGATTGGGGGACTTCATTTTCTACAGTGTTTTGGTTGGTAAAGCTTCTGCAACAGCCAGTGGAGACTGGAACACAACCATAGCCTGCTTTGTAGCCATATTAATTGTAAGTATACACTAATAAAAACATGTCTGAAATCCTCATCTCAGAACTCTGATTATGCTGTCCCTTTAAGGCAATCTGTTTATTTTTTAAGGTTTATTTATTTTGAGAGACACAGAGACAGCACAAGTGGGGAAGGGACAGAGAGAAGGGGAGAGAGAGAATCCCAAACAGACTCCTTGCTGCCAGCACAGAGCCCAATGCAGGGCTCCAACCCATGAGACCATGAGATCACGAGATCATGACCTGAGCTGAAACCAAGAGTTGGACACTAATGGACTGAGCCACGCAAGTGGCCCTAAGGCAGTCTGTTTTAACCGTAGCTGGGCTGGGTATGCCAGTCACCTAGAGAGCTTTTTAAAAACAAATCATTGAACCTCACCTAAGTTGTTTGCCACCTGGCCACCCATTAAAATCAGCCATTAAAATTGTTCATCCCTGTCCTGAGATGTTAATTGTGTGGGTTTTTTGTTTTTTTTTTTTTAATTCTCCAGAAAGTTCTGATAAACACCTCTGATTGGGAACGGCTACTTCAAGCCTGGCAGCATAGACATGTAGGAATGAGCTGTGTTAGATCAGTCTTATAGGGGCACTCAGATCCTCACTTAGTCCCTGAATCTGGTGGTGGTTTTGCCTTTAAAGCAAGTCTCCAGGGGCAGCAGGTCTGAGGTGAGAAAAGCTAACACGATGCACGGTGCCATGTAGGTCTTGTAGCACCACAGCATGAAGCCCGAGGCTTTCAAAACTATAAGTGACTCTTAAGATATGTCGTATTGGTATTTTTGCTAAAGATGTGCTGTCTTTGATATGTGTCCATGAAGTTAGATGAGAGATGAGATGAGAGCCATTACCCATTTACTTTATGAAAAACAGAATTTTCATGTGTCTTCTTTTCTTTCTTTCTTTCTTTCTTTCTTTCTTTCTTTCTTTCTTTCTTTCTTTCTTTCTTTCTTTCTTTCTTTCTTTTCTGGATGTGTTGTATCTTTTAAGAGGAAAATTACTTATTTTGGATAAACTTGAAATGATAATCAGACATTGTCTTAGGGTGAAAAAATGGACTATATTATATGGCTGCTCTGTGCTGACAAGAAAGCAACACCGGTTTCTGAAAGTGCCTGTTACACCACTTTGCCTTTTTTGGTAACAGAAAGAAATCCAAGGAAGATTTTTGCTTTTACAAAAAAAGCTGTTAGCATACTAATGATAGGTCTTTCATTAAAAAAAAGCGGCATAATTGGAACTTTCAGGAAGTGGGGATATGTTTCACTTTGTGCTCTTTTGGCCTATAAAAGGCTTTGTAGGAACACTCTACTTTCAGATAGAGAAACCTGTATATGCTCCGTAAACTTTTATTGGTTTATTCTGTGAGCATCTCTTTGCCCCCCTATACAACATAAAGGATGCTTCTCACTTCTGGGACTTTAGCCAGCCAAACTAAACTCACAGTAGCCAACTCAATATTCTAAGTAGAAATTTCAATATTATTTAATTTAAAAAAAATAGTTTTATTTTTGGATTCTATTCCTTACCTGGAATTAAGGAGTGAAGTAGCAACAGTGTGTGGGTAATGAACTCTGTGTTGCAAAGGAAAATAAATACTGTTTCCAAATTGAATGAAAAAAATTGCCCTAAAATTTAACCTCAAAGGATAATATTCAGGGAACTAAATAGAGGCCAGGACTTGTGATTGGGTTGTTTTTGCATGAAATACGTTGATAATTTTGTCTGAGTTTGTGTCTTCTCCCCTCTTCTCCACAGGGTCTGTGCCTTACATTATTACTCCTCGCCATTTTCAAGAAAGCTCTGCCAGCTCTTCCGATCTCTATCACCTTTGGGCTTGTTTTCTACTTTGCCACAGATTATCTTGTACAGCCCTTTATGGACCAGTTAGCATTCCATCAATTTTATATCTAGCATATTTGCAATTAGAATCCCATGGATTTTTCTCCTTTGACTGTAATTAAACCTGGGGAAGACAAAGATGATTTTCCTGTGTCCACATCTAACAAAGGCAAGATTCCCAGCTGGACTTTTGCAGCTTCTTTGCAAGTCTTCCTGACCACCTGTACCATTGGGCACTGGAAGAAGATGTCCACAGAAAATGATCTTGAACATATGTCATCGTGACGGACTGAGTCCCTCGGTGCAGAAACTACCAGATTTGAGGGACGAGGAGGAGGAGGAGGGACAGACCAAGAAGTTGCTGTGCTCCCACCAGCAGTTTGACCCTTGGTCACGGGTGGATTTTACCAACACTGCAGACTCTCAGGACTACCATTACCGAGAAGTTAAATGACATGGTTTAAACCAAACAGGACTCTCCATCTTAAACCACATGTTGAAGATCAACCTAATAAACCTGTATTGAACTCTGAACCTTTTCAGGAGGTACTGTAAGGAGAGCAGGCACCAGCAGCAACATGAAGAGGTTTTTGAAAAGGGGCTCCAACTTTCACTTTCAAGCCTTTCTGCTGCAGACTTAAACCATTTTTAAATAAGACTTTTTTTTTTCACCTTGAGTCAAGTCCGATATGTAGGTTGATTTTGAAAATTTTGTTTTCAAGCACTGAAACTCAGTACCATCTACGGTTGCATTTCTTCCCATGGCCAGTCTGAACTTACCTGCTTTATCCTAAAAGTCTTAACCTCAGGTTCCAAACCCAGTAATTTCTGGAGAGAATGGAACTATATCTAAACAGTTTCCTGTCAGCCTTAGGTGAATTCTGGATTTTCCACCAAATTCTTTATTTTTAGACATACTTGTAGGTTTACTTGCCCTGGATGCTTCCATTGTTCCCATCTCTCCCTGACTCCCCATAAGCATTCTCTTCTACAGCAAATGAGACAGCTCTGTTGTGGTAGCAGATGGTCCAGTTACTCTAGGATTTTACTCTTTGTGTGGTGCAAAGAATGTGTTATGAATCAGTGCTATCAGCCTCACTGTCATAATTTCTTCAGTAGCAAATACAGTGTGTGCCCAAAGACAGTAGAATTAAAGAAGAGTAAAATGGCTGGTGAAGCACTTTCTGTCCTGGTTTTTCTTTTTTTACTGCAACCCATTGTCTCTGACACTAGGTCAGAATTTGAACCAATAGCCAAAAGCTGATGGGTTTTGAAGTCAGTTGTGTCAGTACAAAGGAAGAATCTGGAGAAAGCCATGATTTTACTGGGTAAGCCACGGGAGAAGCTAGGGTCAGGAGGCGAAACAGATGCTGAGAAGAGAAGGGGCCTCTAACAGTCCATGGGACAAAATGAGCCAGTATCCCGTGGGCATATCTTGAGGAGGAGAACCAAGTTGTTCCTCAGGAACCTCACAGTGGGTGTTTTGTGCTTTCCCTTCTGACTTCCCTTTCAAACGAGTGCACCTGTGTGTACTTTGAGGTGGGCAGTGGGGTCAAGGTCCTGTGCAGTTCAGCGGGACAGTGCACATGAGCAGAGCCATCAGCCTGTGGGCACAGGACACCTGTAAGTGGAGCTTTCCCGGGAATAGCCCGTCTTTTACCACTGACACCTTTAGCCACAGTGATCAGACTGTGAGCATTTGTGAGACACTTAGTCTCCCCCTGTGGCTGAAGAAAGGCCAGCTTTTCTTTTTCTTCCTGCTCTGTCTCCAGCCTATCATATGATCTTGTTTGCAGTTCTCCTTGCAGTTTTTTTGGGTTTTTTTTTTAACACTTTATTTTATTTTATTCTTTGAGAGACGTAGAGCACAGTCTGAGGAGGGGCAGAGAGAGACACACACACGCAGACTCCAAAGCAGGTTCCAGTCTCTGAGTTGTCAGCACAGAGTCAGATGCGGGGCTTGAACCCACGAACACAAGATCATGACCTGAACTGAAGTTGGACACCTAACTGACTGAGCCACCCAGGTGCCCTGTCCCTGCAGTTTAGAATATTTGTTTTCTGTCACAGAATGTTTTTTATAAGAAACTAAATTTAGCAGTAGTGTGGTGGTCATCACGAGCATAAGCAAAAACTGGCTCATATTAGGTAGTTGAAAAATGCAGGGAAAACAAGTCTCTGCACAGAAAGAGTGGGGCTTAAAATAGTAGGTTGTCTCATCTCTTTGTTTAGTCCCTTATTTCCAAGATTTTTTCCTCAGATATGTAGCAGTGTATTATCTTCTAGAAAGACACATGATTCAACCACTACAGCAAAGCCACCTGAACATGTTTGTGATTTGAGGCAGCCTTGAGGGAGCCCCTAGATCTAGACTAGTTTATTAGTGTGATGGCCCCAAAAGTACCGTATCTTTCATGAAAGGTTTTATCCCAAAAGAGGGTATGTGGTGTGCGTGTGATTAAATCCGTCCTTTGTATCACCGTCCTGTGTAGAAAAATGGCAATAAATCTCACTTTCTACATGACAGAACCACAGCTCAGTGTAGAGAGAACGCTTGCTTTTCTTTAAATCACCAATCTCAGATACAGAACTTTGAACTTTCTTCTTAGGGTCAATCCTGTTGTTTCTGAAATATCAAAACGGTAGTCTTCCGCCATGAAAAATAGATTGTCACCGGGGAAAATAGCAGCAAGGCCGCTGAGGCTGTGCCCCCCCACGGGTCAGGGGCAGCTGTGGAGCTGGGCCAAACAAAGCAGGACCAGCCCAGGGAACCTGCTTAATGAAGAGGAGGAAGAAGAGTGACCACTCAGGTCTGGGGCTGACTGGCCTAAAGAGCGTGTATGTACAGAAGGTTGCTGCAAACTAGCTTGTGGGCAAACCAACCATATTTAGAAGATTTGCGGATCTTTTTTCAAAGAGGAAGAGCGTGCTTTTCCTGTTTTTCATTCTCACTAGGTTAGTGTGTGGTCCTAGGATCACAGCTCTCACTGTAAATGATTAAATTTCTTGATTAGGAAAAAAGCTTTCTAAGCAACTTGAAAACAATCGTAAGTGAATGATTTATTGATTTTGCCACAGAAGCAACAACTAGGGAGGTGGTCTTTTCACTTCTGAATTCTTGAATCCTCAGTTTTTAAAGTGTCTTGTTTTTAAAAACCCTCCTTCTATAACCGATGTCCGTACAAGAAGTTTAGTACTTATCCTTTACTTGGCCTCAAAAAACTTAATATAGTAGTCGTGGTCATAATTTGTAGAATATGAGACAAAAGTTAAGCTCCCACGTAAGATCTTCCAGGCTCAGCGTCTCAAGGAAGGCTGACTGCCAGGGGCTGGCCTTGCACTGTTACCCATTCCTGATCTAGCCCTAGAAGAGAAAGAGCTCAGAAGCCATTGTGAAAACATTTATTCAGTGTCTTCCATGTTCCTAGCATGGTTATCGAGTCTAAAGATGTGAAGATGGGTAAGACCTGTCCTCAGAATACATCTGTAGGTTCCTGTCTTCTTATATGTGCCATCTTGAAGTTCCCTAAAATATTAGGTACTTGTCAGTACTCCCTTTTTATGGTTACCGTCACTGAGGGCTTTTAAAATTGATGTTATAAAGGTAATCTTGATTCTTCCAGAAACCAACCCTTTCAGTGAAGCACTCCTTTTTCTCTGTCTGCTTTCAGATAGTCTATAACGGCCTGACCGCCATTCACCTCACCTCTGGGGTGTCCACAAAGCTGACTGTAAAGGGAACTTGAAAACCGGACTTTGGGTCTTGCCTGGGATGAAACCATATTCTCGTCATGCGTTTGAGCCCAGAAGTGATCCTTACGATTTTCTTGATTCTCTTTAAATTCCCCCAAACACAGGAGATTAAAAACAATGGTTTCAACTCTTCATAGCCCTCAGTGAAATTGCCGAGCAGCATCTAATAAGGCTGCCCTCACGCTCACCTCCCGAATCCTCTGGATGGCATCATCCGAACCGCCCTCTCCTCTGGTAGGAAACACCTCAGATGCGTGTATATAAAAATCAGCCTGGTGCTGACATGAGCCCTTTCTTTGACTGTTTACCAGGGCCTCAGATGCCTGCAACATTGCCCTCAGGAAATAGCTGGGCCCGCCCTGGGCCCTGGAACATGGTGTTAGCACTTGAGCCTGGTGTGTGTAGCAGGAAAGATTTCCCAGGAAGCAATTTTCCTTTGATAATAAATAATTGTTGCAAAGGGGCAGCTTCAGAATGAACCATAGACAGTAGCAAGTACAGGACCGTCCATTCCCTGCGGGACTGGAGGCGCTGGCTGCAGGCTTCAGCGGGAATGCTGGCGTGCTCATCATCTGGCTTTTGCTTCCACGGGCACTGCTTTGTCCATGATTCAGACAGACTGAATACATCTTTTTTAAAATACCTTTCAAATTCTTGGTAAGATATAATTTTGATAGATTGCAGATTTTCTTGTGTTTGTCAAATTAATAAAGACTGCATGAACCCAGCTGTGCTAATTTTCTTACGTGAAAGCAGTATAATGTGTCACCGGGAGCTGCTGAACTGTTATCAGACACAGTTAAGAAACAAATGCATGGTTTCTGTTATTCACTCATAATGGAGGGGTATGGATCATAGCAGGCCACAGCTCTGAAGGATACAGTGTTAAGTCTATTTATGAAAAGTCTTGAAACAACTATTCTAAATACTTAGCTTCTGAAAATATTTTTTTCTAGAAAATAACTCAAATTGATGTAAAACCTTTCAAGAACTTCTAGAATGAGTATGTTGTAGTGCTGTGCAGATATTTTATGTGCTAGAGGATTATCTTTTTAAAATTATTATGGGGGTGCCTGACGGGCACAGACCGTAGAGCATCCAACTCCCAGGGTCATGAGTTCAAGCCCCACATTGGGTGTAGAGCTTACTTTAAAAGGTGGGGGGGGGGGGGGCGAGTAAAGAATTATGTAGGTGACATCAGTGGGAAAAAACATTCCTTTTATTGATTGTCCTGTCATTTTCCTAAAACTCTCCAAAACCTTTTGTTTCTAAATGGTGAATAGCATATAAAATGTTGGGAATTACTGGTCAGAAATAAGATTGTGGCAGGAAAACCAAAGTTGGCCATTGTCTTCAGAAGGAGCATATAAGAGATGCGTGCCTTCCTGGCTACATTGGCTAAGGGCATCAGGAAGCAGGGAAGGTGTTCATTGTTCATTCCCTCCTTTGGGAACTACAGGCATCGTTTGCTTTTTTAATCGTGTAGCCATGTCACTGAAGTCTGCCACAGATCTATCATGATTTGTCCTCATCAGCTGGGAGAGGTTTCTGAATTTTAGGGGCATTGACAACGGTGTTCTTAATGAGAATGAAGAATGTCCTCTGGCAGGGTTGAGAAGCAAGAATAATGAGCTTGGAGTCCCAGCATCACTCGGTAAGTACCACAGTCTTACGTAGCCCAACCATTCTCTCTAGGGACGTTTCTGTGTGCTCTGGATGTGTGTGTGGTTAGGGGAATATTTGCTTAGGATTTGGTTAGAAGAGAAATGACAGCATACGTACGTGAGTACAAGCAAGTACAGTGTTGCCTCCTTACATCATTTGACTGGGAGTGTAGAGCAATGGAGATGTCCACAAAAGACAGGTTTTAAGACCAGAATGTTTTCCAGAAGCAAAGTTCAAACCAAAGTTTGAGAAAAAGGGAAGAATCAGAATTGGCATGAAGACAAAGAACATATACCAAAAACAAAATCAGAAAGGAAGAAGTATGTGAGACACCCAAGGACAATTAGTTTCTGAATTAAAGTGATGATTTATGCAGAGGAAAACCCAATTAGCTAGCTCAATCTGCTTCCATATTTACTTAGAGTATACTTCCTGCATTAAATGACTTGTAGAAACCATGGAGAATGTGACCTGACCTACTCCAGGGGTCTTTCAGCACAAGGGACCTCTTAATCTTGACCAAGATTCATTCTCTTACCCGGGCTGGCCCTACTGTGCCTTGTATGCCACCCTCTAAAGGGGAGAAATGGAAGGGCTCAAACCAGGTTTGTTGGAGTCCTAATTTCTTAAGATTGTATTTTTTAAAGTACTCTACACCCAACGTGGGGCTTGAACTCACAACCCCTGAGATCCAGAGTTGCATGTTCTACTGATTGAGCCAGCCAGGCACCCCAATGGAGCCCTGATTCTTAGACAAGGGGTG